GGGCCCCGGAGGCCGCTCCCGCAGGGACTCGGGCGGGTGGGTCTGAGGAGGGGGGGGGCGGGGGGACACACAGCAGGAGCCCCGCCCCTCGCCCCCCCGCACACCCCACCCCGCGGGCACCCCCCCCCCCGCACACCCCACCCCGCGGGCACCCCCCCCCCCGCACCCCCGCGGGCACCCCCCCCCCGCACACCCCACTCCGCGGGCACCCCCCCCCCGCACACCCGCGGGCACCCCCCCCCCGCACACCCTCGGACACCCCCCCCCGCACACCCCCCCCCGCGGGCACCCCCCCCCGCACACCCGCGGGCACCCCCACACACACCCCCCGCGGGCACCCCCCCCCCGCACCCCCGCGGGCACCCCCGGGCGGCCGGGCGGCCCCCCGCAGGGGCGCTGGGCTGGGGCGCACCGCAGGCTCTCCACGCGGCCCCGCAGCGATAATATAACAATTTAATAACCCGCCGCGCGGAGGCACTGGCCTCAATTAAGCTCATTAGGCGGCCGACCCCCCCCACACACGTGCCCGGCCGCCGGGCGGGGCCCCCGCTGAGCGCCGCTGCACACGTGACCCGCCGGGTCCCCCCCCTGCCCCGCCCCCGCCCCCCGCCCCCCCCCCCCGGGCCCACCCCAGCGGTTCCAGCTGCTGGGGTTGTTTTATTTCTAATTTCATTTATTTTTACTGATTTCAGCGAGGAAAGGAGAGGGAGACACCGGGGAAGAGAGAACCGCGGACCCGCCGCCTCCCGCACCCACACGGAGGGGGGGGTCGAACCCGGGCCTCCTGGCTCCGGGGCGGATGCGCAGCCTGAGCCTCGGGGCTGCGGCCCGTGAGGGCTCCACCCGCCTGGGCCTCTGGGCCTCCCGCCGCGCCAGCGGCCCCGCGCGGAGGGCGGCGGAGGGCGGCCTGGCGGGGCGCACGGCCGCGCCCTCCTCCTCCCTCCTCCCGGGGCGGGGCGCGGCCGGGGCGCTGTCCGCGGTGCTGAACGCGCCGGGCCGCCCGGGCTGCGGTGAGGGCGCCGCAGGCCGCGTTCCCCTCCTCTCCTCTGGATGCGGGGCGCCCTCCTCCCGGGCCGGCCGGGGAGGTGCTCCGGCGCGGGGGTGAGTGAGGAAGCCCACAGGCCAGTCCCTTCCCAAAGGCTCACCGCGGAGCCGGGCGGGAGTGGGGAGGCGAGAGGAGGGAGCAGGAGCCCCTGTCCGCTCTCCGTCCCTCCCTCCTCCCTCCCTCCCTCCTCCTTCTCTCCCTCCTTCCTCTCTCCCTCCTCTCTCCCTCTCTCCCTCCCTCTCTCCCTCCTCCCTCCCTCCCTCCTCCCTCTCTCCCTCCTCCTTCTCTCCCTCCTTCCTCTCTCCCTCCTCTCTCCCTCTCTCCCTCCCTCTCTCCCTCCTCCCTCCCTCTCTCCTTCTTCCCTCCCTCCTTCCTCTCTCCCTCCTCCCTCCCTCCCCTCTCTCTCCCTTCTCCTTCTCTCCCTCTCTCCCTCCTCCCTCCCTCCCTCCTCCCTCCCTCTCTCCCTCTTCTCTCTCTCCCTTCTCCCTCTCTCTCTCCTCCTCTCTCCCTCCCTCCTCTCTTCCTCCCTCCTCTCTCCCTCCTCCCTCTCTCTCTCCCTCCTCCCTCTCTCCCTCCCTCCTCTCTTCCTCCCTCCTCTCTCCCTCCTCCCTCTCTCCCTCCCTCCTCTCTTCCTCCCTCCTCCTTCTCTCCCTCTCTCCCTCCCTCCCTCCCTCTCTCCCTCCTCCTCTCTCCCTCCTCCCTCTCTCCCTTCTCTCTCTCTCCCTCCTCCTCTCTCCCTCCTCCTTCTCTCCCTCTCTCTCTCTCTCCCTCCTCCTCTCTCCCTCCTCCCTCTCTCCCTCCTCCCACTCTCCCTCCTCCACACTGGGGCGCAGGTAGGCGGCAGCGGACCGAGTCCATGGGTATTTCACAGGCAGCGGGAGGACCCCAGGCGGCCTGGGATGAGGGGGTGTGGCCTGCATGACACAGACATTATACCCCTCCGTGTGCCCCTGAAGACCCCTGAACACTGCTGCCGCCCACCCGGCCCAGCAACCTCTCCCGGGAGAGAAGGGGCCACCCCCTGTGGGCAGTGAGAGCTCTGACTCGGTCGCCCCAGATGGAAAATGGAGGTGGGGGTTCAGAACCGGGCGGTGGGGTACGCTTTCTGCTCTTGTCTCCCCACACTCCCGGAGCCCCATCCCCTTCCGCACAGCCCAGCTCTCACCCCTTTTCCAGCCCCCTTTCTGCCCCGCCCCATGTTGGCTCCTGTTTGAACACCCCCCCCAGCCCGCCCAGCCCCCTCTGGCCTGGGCTGCCGAGCAGCGGGTGGGGGCGCAGCCGCCAAGGGTCGTTCTGCCCGCTGGGCCGGCATCGCCTTGCCAGCGCTGATGTCACCTGTCAGTGCCCACCTGGGGCCCCGCCAGGAGCTGGTGGTGGCGATAACCCGACATGGCAGATGGGCCAAGATTGCGCAAATGAGGGTCTAATTGACAATCAATTGTGATTAGGAGGGAGAGGACGTCTTTATCGCCCCAGACGTTTGGTTTCCGTGGAAGTGGGGAGGGAGGGGTGTCTCGGGGCGTCTGGGAGAGGAGAGTTGTCCCTTAGGGATGGGGGGGGTGCCGTGGTCACCCTGGGCCTTGTCCACACACAGCGTCCCCCCTCCCCACGGGAAAGCGGCCCAAGGCCCCTGTGTAGCTGAGACCCCCTCACGCTACCCTGCCCCCCACCTGCAGAGGGTGCCTGCCGCAGGGCACAGAGGGGAGGGCTAGGGAGGGAGCACCAAAGAGGGGTGCCTCAGCACCTCCAAACCAGGAGGGCCACCAGGCTCTTCCAGGTCGCCCTGAGCCCTGAGGCAGCGCCGCCTCTCCTGGGAGAGGGAGCTGTCTGGCTGTGGAGCGTGTGCGTGGGGCGCATTAGGCTATTATTTCCCCGCGCTCCCCACACATCCCGCTCCCAGGCTTCGGCGAGGCTCACCGTGCACTCTCTGCCGCTGGTGTTCGCGGTGACTGAATGGAAGATGCCGAGAGCCAATTTCTCTTCCTCGCCCGCCAGCATCTAGTGTGTCACCGGAATGAGGGCAGCTCGGAGCCCACCCACCCGTGGGGGCTGTGGCCACCCTGTGCACCCGCCCGAGGCCGCGGCTTGTGGAGGGCGCCCGAGGGGCTGTGATGTCCCTGAGACCCCGAGCAGATCGGAGGTCCGCACTGCGGCCTGCCCCGGGGTGCCCGGCAGCGGAGCACCGGCCGGCAGCAGAGGCGCGACTCCAGGACCGGCGGGCACCCAGGCCAGCGCGGGAGCTGAGCCGCGGGCGGAGCAGGGAGGGGGCCCCAGGCCAGCGGGAGCTGCGGGCGGAGCAGGGAGGGCGGCTCCGCGGGCAGGCGCCCCAGGTGGCGTGCCTGGGTGATCATGAATGACTGCGCTGGTGTGTGGCGCGCGCGGTGAATGAGCGTGTGTGAGTGTGTGTGTGTGTGTGTGTGTGTGTGTGAATGGTGGACACATCTCTATCCCGGCTGGGCTGGGTAGGGGGAGGCCTCCGAGCCCCACAGGAAGGTGGGCGGGAAGGAGATAATTACCTCCCTGAGATGGGAGATTACGCCCTCCTTCCCCCAGAGGTGATTTATAATTTAAAGATAAAGAATAATCAAGTCCTGGCCGAGAAGGACACAGCGTCGTGGGTCTGATTAGAATCTCGGAGGGATGGGCACGCGGGGGCAGGGCGGGGCGGGGAGGCCCAGCCTCGGGTCCCGGCCTCCCTGAGGCTCAGCGTGTCGGGAGCTCGGCCCAAATTACAACTGATCGGTCCCCCATTATTCCTCCCAACTTTTAATTTCTGCTTCCAAAGGATCATTGCCCGCGGTAATTGCCAAGGACCCGTCCTTGTGCGCGGGCAGGCTCCGGGGACCCCGTGGCGGGCGGCGCGCTCCCGCCGTCACACTCAGCCGCTCCCGCGGGCTCCCCCTGCGCCACAGCGGCCGGGTGCCCTGGGCCTGAGCCGTGGTGACGGGAGGAAGGAGCCCGCTGAGCTGGTCCCCGAGGGCGAGGGCGCAGGCCTGGCGGGCCCTCCTCCCCTGGGCGCGGGGTTTGTGCGAGTCCCGCTGTGGCTGCGGCTCCCAGTCAGACCGGAGCGGGGCGGGGCCGGGGGACAGGCCAGCCCCCCTCGTTTTCCATTCCGCTCTAAGGCCCCCCGCCGCTCCGCCCCCGCGGAGAGGACCCTGATGTGACGGCGGGAAGGGGCGGGCGCGGGAGGAGACGGGGCAGAGACCGGGCAGAGGAGACCCAGACCGAGAGGAGGCCCCGGCTGAACGGCCGCGGGAGGAGGGGGCGCCCGGATCCAGAGAGGAGGCCCCGCTCCGCGCCCAAGGAGCCCGCCCAGCCTGAGGCCCCGCACCCGGATCCAGAGCAGAGGCCGGCGGGCGCCGCGTCCCGCGCGGGGCAGACAGCGGCTCCCCGCTCCCGCCGCCTCCGCCCGCCGCTCCCGCGGTTATTTAAACGCCGCGTCTCCCCCGCCGCCCGGAGCGGGGCGCGCGGACCGGACCGCACTGGAGCGCGGACGGCGCTGCGGCTCCGGCGGCGCGGCTGTCGGTCCGGCCGGGACTGGTCCGTGCGCCCCCCGGGGCCGCCCCCCCACCGCTGCCCCGCGGATCGCAGCCAATTAGGCGGCGCGCTAACGAGGCGGCGCCGGGCCCGCGGCGCACGTGCGGGCGGCGGTGGGCGCGGGGCGCGGGGCCATAAAGGTGCGGGCCGGGTGCGCCGGGCGCCTGGGGAGGCGGCGGCCACAGGACCCGCAACGCCGGCCCAGCGCGGAGGCGGCGCGGGAGCGAGCCGAGCCCTCCGCCCGCACCGGCCGCCGGGGATGGGAGCCCAGTAGCCGGCGAGCCCCGAGCGGCCGGCTGGGCGGGAAGCCGGCATGAGCGCGAGCGGCCCGGCGGCACCGGGGGACGGCCCGGCGCTGCCGCCGCCGCCTCCCGGCCCGGGGCCCGCACCGCCCGCCGCCGCCGCCGCCCGGGACGCCATGGACGGGCGGGCCGAGCCGCCCGCCCTCTCCCGGCCCGGAGCCCCGCCGCCGGCGGCCAGCGACACGGTGCCCGCGGCGCCCGAGGGGAACGGGGCCGCCCGCGCCGCGCCGCCGCCGCGCCCCACCTCCTTCTCGGTGCTGGACATCCTGGACCCCAACAAGTTCAACAGCCGGAGGCGCCGCTGCGCGCTGCTGGGCCCCGCGCCCGCCCCGTGCGCACCGGCCCCGTGCGCCCTGGTCCCCGCGGCCCCAGGGCGCCCGCCGCGCGCGGAGGAGCCGGGCCGCCGCGCCCTCGCCGCCGCCGGAGCCGGAGCCGCCGCCGGAGCCGAGCCGCCGCGTGAGTGGGAGCCCGGGCGCGGGTCCGGGGCGCGGGGCGGGGACCGGCCTCCGGCCTTTGGCTCCGGGACCCCCTCGGCGAGCCCAGCGGCCGGGCCAGGCTCGGCGGGAAGTTCGCAGCGCGCGGGGCCCGCACCCGCCAGGCCGCCCGCCCGCGGCCTCCGTCCGACCCGGACTCCGGGCCCGCGCCGAACCGGGCCGGTCCAGCCGCGGGGCCGCAGGGCGGCCGGGTTCGGCCCGCGGGTCCCGGCACTGGAGGGGGCTGGAGGCGAGGACGCGCGCTGGCCGGTGACCTCCCTGCCCCGCCGCGGCCGCCCGAGGCCTCCTTCCCTCCCCCCGCTTTTTTTTTTTTTTTTGACAAATCAGACTAATTGTGACAAAACGCTGGTTATCTCTGGAAAAACAATTAAATCCCTTCGATTACAGTTAAGGAGAAATGTGCTTAGCGGCGGAAAGCGGCCGGTAATGGGGCGGCCCGCACAGGCCGGTCGATATCCCATTACGGCGGCGCGCGTATCTCTTTCAAGCACCTTGCAAACTCCCCCCTGAACATCTAAATTATAGGGTCAAAATTCGGATAATTACTCGATTAAAACCTATTACACTTATTAGGGCCGCGATCGACCAAGCGCTGCCTTCGACCGCCTCCTGATTGCGATGGGTGCCCCCTCCCAGGCCCGTCCTCCTCCAACGTCCCGCCGGACGGTGGGGACTGGGAGTTCTAGGAGGGGGCGCAGGGCTGGGGCCGGGGTCCCGGGCCCCTCCAGTGGGGCTGAGATGGGAGGGCCCTTCCTGCTTCCCGCCTGGCTGGCCAGGTGGCTGGGAGTCACCACCCCGTGCGGAGCCCACCCCAGGAAGGCCCAGACTCCCTTCTCGCCCACCTGCTCAGGGCAGAGGCCGATGGAAGGTGCCCAGGGTCCTGGCCGCTGTGAGCGGGAGTGGGGCTGGGCATCGGCTTTGCTGGCTCCCAAGCCCCTGTGGTAACCCTGAGGAGCTGCTGGACAAAATTGGTGGTTTAGCCCCTGGTTTCCCTGATCTCGGTACCAGCCGGGACCTCGGTGCCAGGCGGAGTGGCACCGGCCCGGCTTCCCTCTCCATAATGAGGCCTGGTGGGTGGGAGCGCACAGACCCCGCCGGCCAGACTTTCTTCCCAATTTCCGGGACTCAAAACGCAGCCCCGGGCCTCCCCGGGCGGGCCGGCTGGGCTGAGGTGCTCCCCAGGCCCTGTCTCCCCGCTGCTGGGACCCGCTAGGGCGGCGCGGCTCCAGGCGGAGGCCGGAGGCCGAGGCAGAGCCGGCCTGGGTCCCAGGAGCCCCTCCTGGCGGCTCCAGCTTCCACGCACACCGGCCCGCGCCTGGCGTGGTTGGACATAATACACCCGGAAGGGACGCCATGGCCTGAACTCGTTGGACTTCCCACAAATGGGTTTAATTTTGTCTTTGCCCTGAGTTTTCGCTGCGTGGGAAGCTCCGGGGGTCCCGCTCGGACACAGGCCGGGGCGCGGGAGGAGCGCAGGGAGGGACCCCCCCACACCACCGACGAAGGGAGGGGAAAAGGCAGCGAATGAAGGGAGAGAAGCAACAGAACGGGGAAGGGTCGTCGTGGCGGAGGGAGCCGTGAAGGGAGCGTTGGGGAGAGGATGGGCCGGGGGAAGGGGTGGCCTCAGCGAGGCCGCGGGAGCCGCGGAGGGAGCCGCGGAGGGAGGTGGCCGGGGAGCAGGCGCGGGTCTCACTGTGCGTCCCCCTCCCGCCCGTCCCCCCACAGACGCCGGCGACCCCTTCCAGGCGGACGAGGCGGAGCCCAACGACTACAGCAGCGGCGGCGGCCGCAGCCCCAGCGCAGACAGCGGGGACGAAGCGCCCGACGAGGACGAGGACCAGGACCGGGCCGGGGCGGCCGAGGCGGGGGCGGCGCCCGGAGCGGAGGAGGCCCGAGGCGGCGGCGGGCTCGCGGTCCGCGGGTCGGGCTGCCCCGGAGCAGCCGAGGCCGAGGCGGCGCCCGGCACCGCGGACGAGGCGGCGGCGCCCGGCCCCCGCGGGACCTCGCCTGGAGCCCCGGCGGCGGCGGGGGGCGCGGGGACGACCCCGCAGGGCGCCGCGGGCGCAGCCAAGCCCAAGCGCAAGCGCACCGGCTCGGACTCCAAGTCGGGGAAGCCGCGGCGGGCGCGCACCGCCTTCACCTACGAGCAGCTCGTGGCGCTGGAGAACAAGTTCAAGGCCACGCGCTACCTGTCGGTGTGCGAGCGCCTCAACCTGGCGCTGTCGCTGAGCCTCACGGAGACGCAGGTGAAGATCTGGTTCCAGAACCGCCGCACCAAGTGGAAGAAGCAGAACCCGGGCGCCGACACCAGCGCCCCGGCCGGCGGCGGCGGGGGGCCCGGGCCGGGCGCGGGGCCGGGCGCGGGGCTGCCCGGCGGCCTCAGCCCGCTCAGCCCGTCGCCGCCCATGGGCGCGCCGCTCGCCATGCACGGCCCGGCTGGGTACCCGGCGCACGGCCCCGGCGGCCTGGTGTGCGCCGCGCAGCTGCCCTTCCTGTCCGGCCCGGTGCTCTCGCCCTTCGTGCTGGGCTCGCAGACCTACGGCGCGCCCGCCTTCTACGCGCCGCACCTCTGAGCGCGGCCGGGCGCCCTGGCCGGCCGGGCTGACCGTGACCGCCGACAGCGCGGCCCCGGGGCGGAGGGTTCACGTTCGTGAAGGACGCGGGGCGCTCGGCCCGGGAAGCTCTTTGCCGAACTCGATTCGATCAATAAACGCAGAGACTGGCCGCGTCCCTCCAGGTCCTGCGCCGCCCACGCCGGTCCCCCTCCCTCCCTGTGGCCGGAGCTTCGGGGCGACCGAGGCGCCCGTGGGGGTTCCGGCAGCCAAACTCGCAGGGTCCCGCCCCGTGCGCTCGGGCTGGGCGCGGAGGTTGCCGCGTACGAGCTGGAGTTCCCGCCCAAGACCCTCCCTCCGCCGGACCGTTGGCCCCGGGACCCCCCATCCCCGTACGGCCTCGGGGACCCCTGGGAGTGAGGGGCGCGCCCCGAGGACAGACAGGCGGGTCCCCATGAGCGCCGGGCCGGTGGGGCGTCTCCTGCTGGGCTCGGCCGCTGCCCTCGGCCCCCGCCGCGTCCCCACTCGAGACCCTCAGCCCCAGGCCCGGGGTACGGGGTCAGGGACTGCTGGGCAGTGAGGGTCCTGTGACACCACCTTCTGGGCTCGGAGCCGCCGCGCGTCCTGCGGCCTGAGCCTCGCTTGGCGGAGGGATCCTGCTACGCCGGCCCCAGGGTCTAACCCGGAGCTGGTGAGGCGCTGCCTCCGCTGCTGCAGGGCCAGGCTGTGGGGCTGTGGCCACGCACCATCGCTCCAGGGGCGGCCACTCACCCTGGCAGGAGCGGAAGAGAGCGCTGGGCTCCCCATCAACGGTGGGCACAGGGCAGCAATGACCACCCAGCTATATGCTGCCACTCGCTGCCCTGACCTCTGCTCCCCACACCACCGGCTCCTCCATCATGCCCCTCTGCTCTCTGGTCTGCGGGGCTCAGAGGCTCGATCCTGCTCGCAGGCTCAGCACCACCCAACCTGTGCTTAGGCAGTGCGGGGCGGGAGGCTGGTCGGAGAGGCCAGGGCCTGGAGGAGCCCCTGCCTCCCAGCCTCCCCTGCGGAGTCAGCCGGCTCCTCAGACCCCGTGCAGGCGCACGGGGACCCCAGCCCGCCCGGGGCTCAGACCTCAGCGGCCAGCAGGGCCGACCTCTCCCCCGTGCCTGGCCCCATCGGAGAAGCGGCAAGGGAGGCAGGGTGTTGGGACACAGAAGCTCACCAGCACTGGCCTCTCCCGCTCCCCTGCACCCGCCTGCTCCCTCCACCCTCAGCTGCTGACCCCCAATGTCACCCGCCTGGAGCTGGGCGGCTTGGAGGCCGTGAAGCCAGGGATGCAACCCCCCCCTCCCCCACCCTGTGCTCTGTCCACCCCAGGCTCCCCCTGGGGCCGGGGCCCTGAGCCGGGTAAGAGCCCTGCTGTGGAGTGGGGGCCGCAGTCCCCGTAGGGCACACCTTGCAGGGCAGCCGTGGGCTCTGAGCTGTGGTTATTGCTTGGAGGACACAGGCCTGGGGGAGGGGGGCGTGCCCATGGGCCTCTCTTCCTCCTGGAGCCCAGCTCCCCGCTCTCCCATGGTGCCTGGGGAGAGGGCGGTGCTGGGTGCTGGCCTCTCCACTGCTGCCCAGGCCCTCCAGGCTGGCCCGCCCCTCCTGCTCCCCCTGGGCCCGGGCCCCTGCCTGCCCAGCTCCCTGGGGCCCTGTCCCTGACTCCAGCTCCCCGGGGCGGGCGGTGGCCTTGCTGTCCCTTATCCCCGGCCCCCTTCCCCATGGTTCCACTTTGGTGTCAGTGTCTTGGGGGCTGTCACCACCCAGGACCTGAGTGTCCTGGCCCAGGCAGCATCCACCCACAATCCCCATATTGAGCCCATGTCGTGTCCGCGACAAACCGCAGCGTGGAAGGAGCCTCGCAAATAATGAGGCAGGACCCCTGCCCGCCGCCCCAGCCCCGCCCCGCCCCGGCCCGCCCACAGCCTCCGCCAGCCCCGCGGGTGGTCCGGGCTGTGTGAGGACTGGCCTTGGCCAGCATTAATGAGGTTTTCCTCGCTCCTGTGGGGTAACTGGTGGGGGTGGCCCTGGACCGAGACACCCTCAGGTCCTCGGGTGGCTCTGCCGCTGTCCTGCTGGCCCCGGCTGGGCCTCGCCCGCAGACGCACACGGAGGACAAGGCTCTGGCCGCCAGGGCCTCTTCCGTTCAGCAAAGGGAGGGGACGAGGGCCGTGCCTTCCCCTGCGCCTGCCCGGAGATCACGGCTGCTCACGGCTCCTGGGCCAGAGCTCGGTCCCCCGGCCATTCCTGGCTGAGGCGGCAGGAAATGCAGGTGTCACCGGGGAAGTGGTGTCCGAGTCAGAGGAGGAGATGGGCAGGGGCTGCGAGCGGACCTGCCACCCCCTCAGCGGGCTCCGCCAGCGCTGCGCTGCCCGCTTCCCTGCTGGCATCCCCACTGGCATGCTGGGGACTGGGCCTTATCCAGCCATGGCCACACCCTGGGGGAGGGCACCCCCCTGGCCTGCAGCACCTGCCCCTCCCCTCTCCCATGTGCCTCTGTCCTATCTCCCTGCGGAGTCTCCAAACCTGCCCTCAGCTCCCCCTGCTCGGCCCCTCGGAGCCAGCTACCCAAGGGCGATGGGCACTGCCCTCTGCACTGGCGTCTCCCTCCCTCCCTCCACCCCTCCCTCTCGGGGTTCCTGTGGCTCCTGGGTCCCACCTGTCCCACCCTCAGCCGCCTCCCCCTACCCTCCCTTATCCAGTCTGGTTGGTCGGTTCCCTCCCCCCCATCTGGGACCACAGCCATGCCCAGGCCCCGCCCACCTCACAGTGAACCCTGGCACCCTGTGTGCCCTCGCCCACCTCACTCCCCACAGGCCCCCCAGGCCCTGCCCACTTCTCACATGCCCCTTGCTCCTGCCAGCGGCCTGCAGTGTCACCCCCCAGGGGGGCAGCAGGGCCCTAGGTCTCCTTCCTGGGTCACTTGAGGTTCAATTGCCACCAGGAAATGTCCCTCAGCTCAGAGGGCCTTCCCAGCCGGTGGGGACCAGGGAGGCGCCTGGAGGGCAGTGCTCACAGGGAGGGCGGCAGGGAGTGGGGCTGGGGGCAGGTCACTCAGGGGAGCAGGGAGTCCCGAGGGGACACAGGGCTGCGTGCGGGGCACTGGTCCTCGGGGGGTCTCATCCATCCCGCCCCCCACACATCCTGGATTGGCAGCTACTCCGGGACACTGCCCCTCCCCACCCCACATCCTGTGTGTGGCCCTCTGTGCCCAGCGGTGGGGCCTGAGGGAGGAGCTGCCCTCACCTGGGGGCTCATGCCCAGCCCCAGCTCACCCACTGGCCAGGCTGTCCCAAGCCTCTGCCTCACAGGGACCCAAACCTCACTGACAGGCAGAGGAGGGCAGAGGGAGGGTGCAGCCTCGCCCCTCACCCAGGCCTAAGGGAAGTCCCCCCCCAGCGCCCAGCCACTGGACACCCTGGACTTGGAGTGATGGAACCTGCACCGGGCCTGCCGGCCGCCAAGGCCAGCCTCCCCTCCCCCGGCCCCTCGGGCCAGAGACACAGGAAAAGGCACTCAGGGCGGCACCCACGCAGGCAACACGGGGGCACGGTGACAGCTCCCGACTCAGCGCCAGGGAGACAGGTCCCCCCTCCCCGGGCCCCCCCCTCCCCTGGCCCCCGCCTCCGCCGCCGCCTCCAGAAGCAGGGACACGGTGGCTGCGATCACAGGGTGTGAGGGTGGGCGGGCGGGTGGGCAGGGGCGGGGGACGGAGTAAGTTCAGAAACAGCACTGCCACCCCAGGGGCCCACCTGGAAGCCGGACTCATGAGTGACCAGTGGGGACAAGCCACGGAGTCACAGAACTGGGTCCCCAGTCACAGTGCGTTAAACAGGCTGCAGAGTGACTCAGACGTAAGCGGAGAAGAGGACGGGCAGCATTTTCACGTAAACGGTGTAAACGGTGCTCGGGGAAACGCAAGCCTCAGAGCCACGCAGATGAAAGATCCCCAGCAGCCCAGCGTGGAGCGTGGGCCCACGCACCAGGAGGCCACGGCTGGATTCCTGGTCAGAGCACATGCCCGGGTGAGGGCTCGATCCTCAGTAGAGGGCATGCCAGGGGCATCTGATCGATGGTTCTCTCTCTCTCCCCCTCCCTCTAAAAGTCAATAAAAATGTTTTTAAAAACCATCCCAAAAAACAACATAAGCAAAATCAAAAGACAAATGGAGGAGATGTTTGCAAGGTACAGCGTAGAGCTCATTTTATTAACGAATGAAGAGCACCTACAATTTAATAAGCAGCAAACAAATAGGCCGACAGGAAAAGAGCGAGGCCAGAACAGTTCACAGGAAGGAAACACGTCTCACTTCTGAGACAGACACCCACTCTGAGACCGCTCCTCCCAGGTCGCCTGGCGAAGACCGACCGTCACGGACACGCCGAGGGCGGGTGGTCATTCCTGGGTCCGATGTCACAGACACGCCGAGGGCGGGTGGTCATTCCTGGGTCCGATGTCACAGACACGCCGAGGGCGGGTGGTCATTCCTGTCACGGACACGCTAAAGACAGGTGGTCAGACCTGGGTCCGATGTCATGGACATGCCGAGGGCGGGTGGTCATTCCTGGGTCCGATGTCACGGACACGCCGAGGGCGGGGTGGCAGACTGTGGTGGGGGGAGGGTGGACTGGCATCACTTCTGAGAGCCACACCATAGTCTTACCACATCGTACTTGCCCTCCGCCCTGACCAGCAACCCCCTCCCAGGAGTGAAGCCCGGAAGCATTCGCGTGTGAGAAGACACGCGTGTAAGACACGTGTGAGAAGATACACGTGCATGCACACTGCCGCAGGACTGCTGGTAACAGCGAGGGGCAGAGCCCTTGCCGGCACTGCACCTCCACGCACACGCGGCGCCGTCCGCACTGCGATCCACGCAGCGGCTGCCGCTCAGTGGCTGCCACGCACCAGGCGGCAGCCCCTCCAACGGCAGAGGACGGCCCGGACGGAGACTCTCTGCTGTGACCACAGAGAACCTGACAGTGAACTTCCCAAACTGGGAACACACAGACTCAGCAGTCCACGGAGTGTTCACCAGGAAAAAGGCTGGACCTGAGTGGGCGCTGCTCCCCTGCCCCTCCAGCTCTGGGGCCCGGGGAGGGCGCAGGCCTGGGCTCCCAAGGGGCCTCGCCCTCAGGGGACGGCCACCAGATTGCTGGCCCAGCTGCTCCCTGGAGGTCCCACTCGCAGGGCTGGGCTCGCCTCTCTGGCGCCTCCTGAGGGATTGGGGTGGATTAGCAGGCATCAGTGTGTGGTTTAACAATGCAGCTGCCTGGCGGGATAGCCGCTGGGCACACCAGAGGCTGACCACAACCCCAAAGCCCTCACCTCCGCCGACGTGAAGCTCTGCACGAAAGGAGGAGGAGGAGGAGGAGGAGAGGCAGAGCTGGCACTGCCTGGCAGAGTGAAGGGGCCCCGCCCCCACCACAAACGCACAACTTGTGGGCCATTGGAGGGAACCTCTGTCCATCACGGCTGGCCAGTACGCTGGCCCAGCAGAGACCTCATGGCCAAGCAGGACAAAGAGCACAGACTTTACAGAACTCACCAGACACTGTACAGTCTGATTCCCAGAGTTGCTACATCCTATTATTTAAAATGTCCAATTTTCAATCAAAACAATTATGATACACAAAGAAACAGGGAGTGTGGTCCTTACCCAGGCAAACAAGGAGCCCATGGAAACCGCCCTGGCTCCGCCCAGCTGTTGAACTTACTGGACAAAGACTTGGACGCAACTGCTACAAATATGTTTAGAGAACTAAAGGAGACACGTCTGAAGAATGAGAGTGTGAGAATGGTCACACCAAACAACGCCAGGAAAGGAAATGACAGAAGGGAACAAGCAGGATGCTGGCACGGAGAAGTGCAAGACCTTCTGGTGAAACAGAGTCACGGAGGGACCATCGGACTTGACTGGCAGGAGGAAGAACCTGGACTTGGAAGATAAGCCACCAGGTCCAGTCTGAGGAACCGAGAAAAAGCCTGAAGAACAACAAACACAGCCTCAGAGAAGAGTGGACACCGCCGGCCAAACAGTCGCCCACACAATGGCAGCCCGAGAAGAGGAGGCGGGGTGGAAAGCCCAAGGCGAGGTGTGGTCAAGAAATAACGGTCAACCTGGACTGGTTTGGCTCAGTGGATAGAGCGTCGGCCTGGGGACTGAAAGGTCCCGGGTTCGATTCCGGTCAAGGGCATGTACCTTGGTTGCAGACGCATCCCCAGTAGGAGGTGTGCAAGAGGCAGCTGATCAGTGATTCTCTCTCATCAATGTTTCTAACTCTCTATCCCTCTCTCTTCCTCTCTGTGAAAAATCAATAAAATATATTAAAAAGAAAAGAAAAGAAAAGAAATAACGGTTAAAAACCTTCCAAATTCTACATCCAAGAAGCTCAACAAATTCCAAGTGGGACACACACACAAAGACCCACCCTGGTGCCTCCCAGTTTCACTGTCAATGACAGGCATCTCGGAAACAGCAGGAAAACCCACTTCACGTGCACAAGGCTCTGCCGTGACAGTGACAGTGACAGCAGCTTCTCATCAGGTCCACGAGGCCAGAGGGTGATGGGATGACAGGTTCAGTGTTTAAAAGACTGTTGGTAAGAATTCTACAGCCGCCAAAACCGGTTTGGCTCAGTGGATAGAGCGTCGGCCTGCGGACTGAAAGGTCCCAGGTTCAATTCCAGTCAAGGGCTTATATCTTGGTTGCGGGCACATCCCTGGTAGAGGGTGTGCAAGAGGCAGCTGGTCAATGTTTCTCTCTCATCGATGTTTCTAGCTCTCTAGCCCTCTACCTTCCTCTCTGTAAAAATCAATAAAATATATTGGAAAAAAAAAAAAAAAAAAAGAATTCTACAGCCAGCAAAGCTGTTCTTCAGAAGAGAAGACAGGAGAAGTTAAGACATTCCCAGACAAATAAACACAGAGAGAACTGTCAGACCTTCCCTTCAAGAAATAAAAAGGGCATCTCTAGGCCAAAGTAAAAACCCTAGAATCAAACCCCACGAAGAAGTAACAGGCGCTGATACAGGCAGCACAGAGCCGGATAAAAGGAGTCTGGTGCACTTTGTTTCTGAATCTTCTTTTCCCTCTGACTTAAGACAATGGCATCGAGCAGGGTGGAACTCTCCCTGCCAAGGGCCCTGTGGATGTTTATGACGTCATTCATGGCCACAGGACATCATCAGCCTAAAACCAGCTGTTCGACATGATCAGACACTTAATAACTCACCCCGAAGGCTCTGGCAGGGCCAGACCAAATGATTTCGCTCTAATTCCCAACATAATTTATTCCGACCTTACCTTACAGAAATAAAAAGATTATAAATGAATACTATCAACAACTATATGTCAACAAATTGTAATAACCTGGATGAAATTCCTACAAACTACTGAAACTGACTCAAGAGGGAATAAAAGATCAAAACAGATCTATAAAACACTGAATTAGTAGCAAGACAAGTGAAAACTTCCCATTTGTACAAAAGTCACATGAAAATATCCTCAAGCTTGGCTGGTGTGGCTCAGGGGTTGAGCACCGACCTGAGAACCAGGAGTTCACGGTTCGATCCGGGTCAGGGCACAGGTCCCGGTGCAAACTCGCTCCCCAGTAGAGGGCGTGCAGGAGGCAGCTGATCAATGATTCTCTCATCACTGATGTTTCTCTCTCTCTCTCACTCTCTCTTCCTCTCTGGAATAAAAAATACATTGAAGAAAAGATGCTCCATATTGTCAGTCAGGGTCCCGGGGGCGTGGAGGAGTCAGAGCGCTGCACAGGTGCAGCTGTGTGGAAAGCAGGTCAGCAGTCCCCCAGGAGGCTAACAGTCGCCCTGGGCCGGTGGTTCCGCTCCTGTCAGATGCCCACGAGAAGTGAAAATGACCGCACAACATGCAAATGTTCCCAGCAGGACTCACAAGTCAAAACGGGCCAACGTCCACGACGCTAGCGAGTGGGTATACACAGGCCCCTCCATACGATGGAGCACGTGGGCAGGAAAGGAAACCCTTTCCGGATTGGCTGCAACCCGCAAGAACCTCAGCACAGACATGAGTCAGACAGGCAGCAGGGATCCATTCCGCGCAGGACAGAACAGGGGAAATCAGACAGACAGCAGCTCAGAGGGTGCCTGGGCTGGAGGCGGGGGTGGGGGTGGGGAGTGGCTGCCTCTCAGGGTGATGGAAGTTCTGCAACCACGTGTGTGTGTGTGTGTGGAGGGGGGTGCTCGGAAACACATGGCGCCTCTGCTCGCACTCCTGGGAGTGGAGTCCTGGCCTGCGAGCTGTCACTCGGTTAGATGGAGCTTTAAACACCGTGACTTGTGGAGCCGGCACCATGGCAGGTGAACGGACAGGCACCGTGTGGCGGGTGGTGCCCACTTCCCATGTTTGCACTAAAACAGCATTCACACAAGGTTTTTTCCTTGTGTGAGGCCCTGAGGGCGGGCCCGGCAGAGGGCTGGAGGTGGCTGGGGCCACACCCACGCTCTCCGCCCTGAGGGAGGGAGAAACGGAGGCGGTCCCAGACAAGCAGACATGGAGATGCATGGCTAGCCCTTCCCCACGGAACACGTGGCGTGCGCAGTCCTGCCGACGCCGCTGGGACACAGCTGCCCGGTGAGCCTGTGCGCCCGGGCCCTTAGGCAGGCCAGACCTGGAACCCGATGGTGGCGCCCACGGCCACAGCATTTAATCGGAATCTGCACCTTTTCCTCACCCTGAACACAATCTGGAGGCGGAGGCCACGGCCCAGACTGTCCGCTCTCCCCTCCGGCCCTGGCAGAGGGAGAGGAGCTGAGAGCAGAGAGGCACAGCACCGGCCCCCTAGCTCAGCGCGTAGTTGAACTGGTTGGCAAACTTCTCATGCTTCTTCTGGTCCATCTGGTTCATGGCGGTGACCACCCTCTGCACCGCTGCCCTGCAGGGAGAGCACAGCGAGATGTGACAGGAGCGGAGGGTTCCTGGCAGGCCCGGCCGCGATGGGGGATCGGTCCTGAGGCAGGCGCGGCCCACGGACCTCTCACGGACTCCCAGCTGGTGAGAGACCCATCTGGGAGGAGGCCTCACCAACGCCCACGGCGTTCGGCCAGCACGGCCCGCCCAGCCAAGGCGGCGCAGCTGGAGAGCACGGCTCAGACTCTGCCCCCGTGGCCCAGCCACACCAGCGCCACGTCCACCGTCGTGGGAAACACTCAGGAACGTGCAGCAGAGATGTAGACGGGACCCCGCTCGGCTGACGGCTGTGGTGGTGGGTCTGGGCTCAGCAGGGCCACGAAGCAGTGACTGCTGGACCCTGTTCCAGAGGCTCTGCCCTCCCAGAGGCTCGGCCACCCACGGCTCTCCTTAGGGGGCACCATCACCCAGCTGCTGCGAGCACCCGCTCTGGGCCCCAGGGATGCAGCGAGGACACTTCTCGGGGTCAGCACCCAGGGTGCCCTTTACCCCTGGCGGATCCATAGGAAACCAGCCTCGTGCCTGGGGCTTGGGGCCATGCCCGCATCTGGACATGGAAGGACACGACAAGCCAGTAGTGAGGAGCCCGTGGGCTCCCTGTGGGCACCCAGGAAGCTGCCCTGCTGTCCAGCCCACCTGGACCGGGGCATCGCCGCCCAGCATGCTCAGCTGAGAGCCGCCAAGGCCTCGGCATGCCTCTGAGGAGGGAGGCCTGGCCTCCCGGGGTTCCCTAACGAAAGTCGTAAGCGCTTTGTGGCCACACCCTGAGCATGGTGGGAGCCTCTGACCACAGCGGCTTCTGACCACAACTGGCAGCCTTTCTACCAGGCCCTGCCCAGGCCCACCAGCCAGGCTGGTCCAGCTGGTGACCCCTGACCCAAGCAGCCGAGAGAGCAGCACAGGGAGGGACCGCTGTCCTGGTGGCACCGAGCTCCGGAGGTGAGTGGCCTCCCTGAGGGCCCGCCGGCCAGTGCCCAGCCCTCCGGCTCGGCCGGCCAGGGAAGACCCAGGCTGGCTCCGCACCAGCAGCCCCATCACCACGGCAACCGCTCCGGGCTCCACCCAACGGCCTGCTGCCCCTCCATGGCCGGGAGCCCCCGTCTGCCAGGGCCGGTGGCACAGCAGAGGGGGCGCTGCGGGCCTCGTGGGGGCTCTTACTTGGCGAAGACCTTCTTGGCGATGCGTGTGCGGGCGGTGTCCGCCTGCTGCTTCAGGTCCGTGAGGCCCGGGTGCTTCCTCTTCCTGCCTTTGCCCCTCCTGCCGGCCCTGGACGAGCCGAGGTCCACCCCGGTGGCCGCCTCCACGTCTCTCATCAACTCGTGGTCCTGCCAGTCTGCACACAGACCCGGGACTTCAGAAATCACCCGGCACCAAGCCCGAGCCCCTCCCGATCGCCCACGGTGACGGGGGCGGGGAGGCAGGGAGGCTGCTGGCCGCTCCCAGGCCGAGGCCGAGGCCGAGCTCCCCGCACCGCCTGTGCCTTTGGACGCAGCACCCGCACAGCCAGTGGGAGAACTGGCCCGGAGACAGGCCCGCCACTGGCTGCCTCCTGGCATGGGCTGACTGTGCCCCACCAGACCCCATCCCTGCCTCTTGACCAGCCTGCTGGCCGAGGGCGTGCGTAGCAGGGTGGGCCCTGGTGGAGGGGGCAGACAGGGCTGACCGTACACACGGCCAGGCCCCGGGAAACGGTGCCAGCGCCGCAGGCTGCCCGGGCCCGGCCCGTGTGCTCGTGTGAGGGCTGCCAAGAGCTCTAAGGGGGCTCTGGCCCGGGGCAGGGGCGGGCAGGGGGGGTCAGGGGCCACGGTGCCAGCTCTGGCAGCCAGGGCCTGGTCGTGCTACTTCCTGCCTGGGCCCTTGCTCCCGCGCCCCGGGGGGAGGGTCAGCTCTGAGAGGCCACAGGGGGACCAGGAGACACGGGGGTGGTCCAGCCAGCAGCTCAGAGGGCCACACAGGTGAGGGATCACAGCACAGCACCCTGGCTCACCCAGACGGACCCGCAGGGGGCGCTGGACCCCCACCACGCACACAGGAACATGGCGGGTGAAGGGGGGTGAGCGGAGCACGCAGGGTACAGGGGAAGCCGGGCTCAGACAGACAGATGGCGAGGCCTCCCCAGGTTGATTTTTTGAAGTGAAGGAAAGCGGGCTGCACAGCTCAGATACAGAGACGATTAATCCAAGATTAAGGAAAACTGTCTAAACAGTTTATCTCCCAGTAATAAGAAGGCGTCACAGTTTAGGAACCCGGTGAATGGAGCAATTGTTTAAACACAACGGAAAACGCGGGGCCCGTGCGAGATGGAATGAGCATCTCGGGAAAATGAAGGAGCAATTTAAAAGCCTTTGAGGAAAATCAATAGCTGCCGGGCGCGCCTTCCTGCGACGGCTGAGCCGGGCATTGTCACCGCGGAGGGCGCCGGGAGAGAAAATTGCCCCGTGTGCGGGAGGCGGGATCGATACTGTAGTTAGTGCCGAGATGCTATTTCACATCTGACTGGCCAGCCGGCCCGGCCGCGGCCATACCTGTTGTTAACAAGTCACCGCGGCGGGAACAGCCGCTCCTGCTGACACAGGCAGGCACTCAATCTGCTCCGAGCGCCCCTCCGGGGAGGTCGCTCGGATTAGCAGGTCCCGACCCTCCTGCCCATCGGGCCGGGGCCTGGCGCCGGCCGGGCATCGGCCTCAATCTAAGCTTCGTCCCTCAGCACAAAGGAAACTCCACTAATGACGACAAACAGCCGGTGGGGACCCCACACGCTGGCCAGCACCCGCCCCCCAGACTCAGCTGCCTCCCAGCTTCTGTGGGGGTCTGGGGAGAGGACACCTGGTGGCCAGGCCTCAAGACCACAGTCTACCGAGTGCCACGTGCTGCCCAGCGGAGACGGCGCTGCCCACGTCACCTCGCGGCCTGCTGCTCGGGGTCCCCCTTGGGGCCGAGGGCTGCCACCCACGGCGTGTGCCCACCACCAGGCCGACCTGCACCAGCACCACGATGAGACAGCTGCCGCCTTGTCCTGACCGTGAGGGTGAGGGGCTGCAGCCCACCGGCCAGCCAGAAGACGGGGAGCCCTGGCGAGGACCCCGAGGAGCACCTGGAGACCCAGCGCCTCGCCTCTGCCCAGACACGCACACACACGCGGCATGTAAAACTCCAGACAGCACACCGACGCATGGGTGCCCATGCCGCATGCACTGCCGAGCACAGAAACCGCACCCCGCGCACGTGCTGTGCGGATGGTGGGCTGGCGAGAGCCGGGCCGTAGGCATCAGGGCAGAAACAGGCCGGCCTCCTCTAAGCAGCCTGGGCCCAGCCGATTAATCAGCTTTCTTGCCTCGATCCCCTCATTTGCCTGCAAAGCCTGCTTCAGAGCCCAGGCCCACAAGCCGGTGAGGACGGGCTTCCGGAGGGGCGTGCCCGCCGCCCCCACGGGCGTCCTGAGACCCACAGGCTGGTGGACCCAGGGGCCCAGCGGGGAGGCCGGGTCCCCACAGATCCACGGAGCCGCCCTGGGAGCTGCTGGGACCCACTGTCCCCAACGGAGCACCCAGTGCTCACCTGAGCGCCCGGCCTGCCTCTGCAGCTGCTGCCTCTGCTCCCGGGCCCTGTCCTCCGGGTGCAGGGGCCGCCCCGCGTCGTCCCTGGGGATGATCCTGCCGTGGAACGGGCACTGCAGCAGAGCACAGCGGCCATCACCCTCCGCCTCGCCCCCACTGCCCCCTCCAAGGCGGCGCCAGGGAGCTGCCGGCGCGGGGCGAGGCGAAGGGCCGCACGGAGCAGGCAGCCCGGCACAGCCAGGGCCGAGCGCGGCTGCAGCCGGCGCAGGCCCAGGCGCCCGGCACCCGCCCGCTCGCCCTCCGCCCCCGGCCCAGCCGCGCCTCACCTTCAGCCGGTCCTGGCGCTCACAGAGCCGGCCGTCGGGCCTGGGCGCCCGGCACCGGTGCTGCACGGGCTCGAAGCTCCCGGCGAAGGTGATGTGACGGCTGCGCAGCATCTCTGAGACCTCGGCGCTGTCCACCTCCTCGTCCACCTCGCTGGGCTTCCAGAAGCGGTGCTGGGACTCCACCCTGCAGGCGGGCCGCGGTCAGAGCCACGCAGGACGCCCGGGGGGGCTAAGAGGTCAGGTCAGAGCCGCGCCCCGTCGGGCCGAGCGCAGGCCAGCACAGCGAGGGGCTTCCCCCCTCCGCAGGGCCCCAGGCCCGGCCCCTCAGAGCCCGAGGGGGCCAGAGGGCGAGGGCAGGGGGCCAGACCGCGGAGGGGAGTGTGTGGGGTGGAGGTGGAGCAGGGCAGGGCCCGGACCTGACTGCCTGCACTCACTTGAGGACCTTCCCGGCCGCAGGCTGCTCCCGGCCCCAGTTGCACAGGTCCACGCCGAAGGGCACCACGGGTGCCCGGGCCCACTCTGCCGCCAGCCGCCCAGCTTCCTCCGGTCCCAGCGATGCGCTGCGGGGCCAGAGAGCGCGGGGTGCTCGGACCGGCACACGGCGGCCGTGAGCAGCCCAGCCCCCACTGTGCAGGGGGAGGCAGGGGAGCTGGCCTTGGATCTGGGCCGGACCCTGTGCTGGTGCCCCCGTCTGCTCCTGCGGCCCCTACTGCCCCCGGGGGCACAGGTGCCGGAGCTGCTCCCTGGCCAGATGCACACCTGGGGCTGTCACCAAGGAGTCAGAGCAGGCTTGGGAGCGCGAGGCCACGCCCCGGGCAGAGGCGGCTGATGGGAGTCACCTGGGGCTCGGGCTCGGGCTCGGGGCCGGGGGCACGTGGCCCCGGAGCCGATGGAGCTGGGCGGCAGCAGAGGTGGGGTCGCTCGCCTCCTCGTCCGTCCTCCTCCTCTTCCTCGCCAGCAAGTCCTGCGCAGCCAGGCCTTTCTCCGGCCCTGAAACACAGTCCTCCTGGTCCCCGTCCTGGCAGACCCGGGCACTGTGCTCCCTCCCCAGGAGGAACGTGGGTGGACGCTGGCCTGCAGGTCCGTGCACCAAACCCTCCAGCGGCCATGGCTTAGCCCTCGGAGGGCTGGCCCTGCCACCAGGCAGCTGAAGCCTCGATGCTGGCACCTCCCAGCATCCCCACAGGACACCCCAACCCTGAGGCCGGCACGCCCTGGCCTCTGCAGGCCAGCGTCCACCCCACGTTCCTGGGGCCGACGAGGGCAGACACTGGCAAACTGCAGAAGCAAACAGTGGACGGCAAATATAAGTATGAGTCTTTAGTTGTTAGGGATGACCATCAGCACGAATGTTTGGGGGTTTTAATCCTCACCTGAGGACACGCTCCCTGAGTTTAGAGAGAGAGGAAGGAGAGAGAAACACGGAGAGGGAACCACTGATCAGTTGCCTGCCATATGCAAAGGGGAGCAGAGGAGAGCGGAAGGGAGCAGGGGTGAAGAGGGGAGCAGGGGTGAGGGGAGTGGAGGGGGAGGGGGTGAGCGGAGGGGAGCAGGGGTGAAGAGGGGAGCGGAGGGGAGCAGCTGCCAGGGCGCACGTGGCCCACTGCCCATCACAGATGTCGGCCCGCCCTGCCCCAGACACCCTGGAGCACAGCAGTCTGCCGTCTGAGCATGGGGTCTACCCCGTTCTTGGGTCCCATGCTGAGGGGGGGGACACAGGACAGAGCCCATCAGAGTGACTGTTTCCACCTCTGGCCACCCGAGCACGAGCTTAGAGGCCCAGCCCCTCTGACGAAGGTGCCACACGCCCACTTGGGAGTCTGACGGCACGCCATCAGGGACACGCGGTGGCCTGCAGAGCACGCGAACATGCGTGCCCGCACAGGAGAGGCTGGTAATGACACTGGGTCTGGATGGATACAGTCACAGCCAGGATCAATATGAGAATTCCTGAGTTACACGAATGAATATATTTTTCATTGATTTGTTGTTTTAAGCCATTAAAAAGACGGGTGAGCGTGTTAGAGGGGTAAATACTCGGGCACTAAGAAAACCGCCGTTTTCACACCGCGGTAGAAAATCAATCTCCACGTGAAGCCAGAGAGCAGGCGGGGCACACGTGGCGTTCGGGGAACTTTCAGGGAAAGACTGGAAGGTCAGGGCCACGGCCACAGCCACGGCCACAGCCCCGCCCCCAGCGTCGGGCTTGGTGCACACTCCCCACAGATCCACGCTGCTTTCCGCGAGAACCAGGGGATGCCCACACCTCCTTTTGTGTACGCTGCCGAGTGGCACCGACACCGGAGCACGGAGGCAGCGGCGGACGGATCAATCCGGGGGAGGCGGCCCGCAGCCAGCCTCCGCCTGACACTATTGATTTTGCCCAGTGCAGCTGGCCTTGTAATTAAAATGTAAATGTGAGGAAGAGATGGCGTCCTGACAGGCGCAGGATTAGGGAGATAAAGCCCCTCCCGGAAACGAGCCCGTGTCCGCCGTGGCTCCGGCGGAGCAGGAGCGGCCTGGCCGGAGGCACCTCAGCACTGCCCATGCCCCTCTTCCCCCTGGCCAGGCTGCCCCCTGGTGGCCCGACCTCGCTCAGCTCCCCATCCGTGGGCCCAGATCCCACCCGAGGCCCGTGCCGCCCTCCATACTCACCGTCCTCAGGCCACAGGTGTTCAGGGACACAGGCCTCGTACCCCTCCTTCTCCGGCACCTCCACGAAGTCGCCATCGTCCTCGTCCTCGTCCTCGTCCCCGTCCCCCTGGGCCGCTGTCTGTGGGACACCCCAAGGCTGAGTGGGAGGAGCAGGCAGAGGTGGAGTGGAGGTGGCGGGGCCCCAGCTGGGGTCAGCGTGGTGGCTGTGCTCCCTGACCTGTCTCCACGCCCGTCCCCTCGCTCCTAAACCACCAGTTCTGTGCACCCCTCAGCGCCCTGTTCAAACCCAACACGAACCTGCCTGCTGCCCGCGGCCAGACCTGCAGCAGCACCACCTCCCAGCCCCCCAGAGCAGGTCTCACCCTGAAAGGCAAGGCCAGGGAGGTGACAGCCCAGCTCGGCTCGGCCCGGCCCAGCACCGTGCCCTGTTTGGGGCCAGCTCCTCACTCAGGCCTCGGATGATGTGACCACAGCACTTCTGGAACATTCTGTCCTTAACAGGATGTTACAAAGCCCCACCCACCCACCCAAAGGTCCCTCTGGACGAGGTCCCGCCCCTTTCTGGCAGCACGGCTCAGTGGGAGCTGCCACACGGCCCCCAAGGCCACGCACACACCCGTGTGCAGGGCTACACACACTGGGAGGCGGCCAGTGTCCTGCCAGAACCTCACACAGCCCAGGACTGCTCGGCCCCCACCCCAGGGGAGCCACCCCTCAGCCGTCCTGGAGAGGGAAAGGGCCACAGCAGGAGGCACCCAGAAACCCCGCCCACTGCCCCACTGTGCCTTCCGGCCAGGCCCCTAAGGCAGGAGCACCAAGACGGGCTGGACTGTTCAGGTGTTGGTCATCTGACACAGGCCCTCGCTCCTGACACAACGCCGACCACAGGGGGGCGGCCGCGCGTGGCCCCACAGCCAAGTGGGCCGGCACCCTCGGCTGCAGGCAGTACCTGCGGTTGGCCGCCCAGAGGCATAATCAGATGCAAATGCACTCGGTTTGGGTTCCGGCAGCCCTGCATCTGAGTGCGGGGACATCAATCACTGGAAACGGCAATTTCTGTTATCGGCCTAACACTGATCAAAGGGAAGCCTGTCTCCGCCGCTGACCTGTGAAACGTCCCAATTATACTCTTTGGAAATGACAGGGGCACTTAACTCCCGAGCTGAGCAAATGACGACAATCAATCACGTTTGAATAACAATGAGCCGCAGACCTGAAAATTATTTTTGTATAGAATCTCCCCAGGAATTTATGAAAGGTGGAAAGCAGCCCAAGGTTTGAGGGCATGACGGCCCGGCCTGCACACTGCGCATCCAACACTAAACAGAATTTATGTCTTTTAATTTTCTAAAAGGTAGATGTGGACCGGCCGTGCTACAATGCATAACATAGATGCCAGGTTTTAAATATGGGGGTCATTTTCATAAAGTATTATGCTGATTGCTCCCACCCTTGAGTTTCACCAGGGACTTGTATTACATTTCCACTTTCTACCAGGAACCGCACCTTCTTCCCCGAAGTGTCCACTCTGCCAGCGCAGGCGGCCGGGCCTGTGAGAACTGCCTGCGGGAGGTGCCCGCTGCGGGAGGTGCCCACAGGGCTCGCCCCTGGCCGCTGGGTCACAGCTCACTGCAGCGAGAGCAGCCTCTGGCCAGCACCACCCTCAGCTCGACGCTGCCGGGTCAGGTCCCAGGGAGCCTGCACGGGGCTCCAGGCAGCTGTGTGCCCTGGAAGGCGGGGAAAGCCAGAAGCTCCACTTCCTGGAAGGCTCTGCTGCCAGCCCTCCGTGGCCTCCATGGGTGGCCTGCCCTTGGGCCTCCCACTCCTCTCATGGCCACGGCCACAGCACAGCTGGCCACGGAGGCCTGCACCTGAGCAGCAGCAACAACCTCCCCACGTGGCAAAGGTCACGGATGGGGTTGGAAGCCTGCACTGAGGGGCAGGCAGAGCAGGCCCAGGAGGCCTGAGGACTCTGGGAGGGGGTCCCACCCTGAGGGGGCCTCCGCTGGAAGCAGGCCATTGGGCTTTCCTTGTCAGCTCCCTGGAGTAGCTTCAGATCGCCACGAGACCTGGCCCCTCGTCGGGAACTCATCAAGGTCACGGCAGCCACATGCTCATGCCTGACAGGTGAGGGCCCGGCAGGCGGTCAGTTCTGTGGCCACCAGGCTCCTCCTGCACCGTTCCCAGCTTTCAGACGCACAGCCCGCCCGCGGCCAGGAGGCCTGGAGGAGGCCATGGCCTCGCTGGCTCTATACGAACAGACTCTCACCCACAGTTAAAAGGGTTTAGAAAAATGAGCCTCCACACTCATAATTAAACAAGCGATAAAACAGCTAAAATATACAACGCAGTCCGTCTGCAGAGTGCGGTAGTGGGGTTACTAATTACTGAGAAGGAATGGGAAGCAGCCTCGCACAGGGCAGCCGCCGCCAGCCCGCCAGGCCCGCCCGCCCGATACAGCTGGGACATTAAATAAATTCTGTGCGATCTAATTAACTTGGTGCGCAATCTCAATTACTTTTCACCCAAGAAATCACTTTTGTTCGGTTTATGTGTGTTTCCCTTTAAAAAAAAATGATGTAGGGCCTCGTCAGACAAGGGAGCTCCCACCTGCATTTGTCTCTCAGCCTTGATGGCTATGCGTTTAAAACCCCATTCTATCTTATAAACTAAAAATTAAACGTGCTCAGCTGTGATGGCCGTCATCCGGCGGCTATTTATATGCTAATGCCCTCCCAGAAGGCCGTGCAAATTGCCCAGCCAGGCCGCTATCTCGGCAGCATCAGAGCAGAGGACGGGGCGCGGGCTGGCCGTGTGAGCAGGGACCCACAGCTTGCGTGGCCAGCCACGTCCGCGAAGGGCTGTCCCTTCCCTCTGCTCTGACGGCTCAGGAGTGCGCTGCACAGCCTGGGGCCAGCCCGGGGGTGAGGCTGGGGGCCAGCCCTGCTGGGTCTGGGCGAATGGGCAGCAGGCAGACAGGCAGGGCGCATCCATGAACCTCAGGCGGATGGCAGCCAGAGGCAGGCCTCTCCTCCAGCGACCACAAGTGTGCCGTGGAGGGGGCGGGGGCACAGAGCCTCCTCCCCCAGCTCCTGCGCCTGATGGGACAATCGCTTCCTGCCTGGCGAGGCGCACCCAGCATGGAGAGGAAGCTCGATGAGGAGTCTGGCTCTCTGTCTCAGCCTGGCCTCCCGGAGCTCCGAGGCAGGACGCCCACCCTGTGACACTGTGGGTGGCGCCCTCCCTGGGTGGCTCAGCCTCAGCCTTGGGAGGAAGGCAAGGCTCACAACTGCCCGACTCAGTCTTCCCACCTGTAAAATGGGCTGCAGCACAACCCCTAGGGGAGCTGGCTTAGGAATGAGGAGCACGTGAAGGTGCTGGAGCAGAGGGCTGGCAGGATGGTGGGAGGGTGACTGGTGCAGGTGCTCACAGGGCAGGGGGGTGGGGGGTGGGGGAGACGGTGTTTGGGCGGCTGGAGGGAGAGGCCTGGCTGCAATGCGCCCGGTCCTCAGGAAAGCGGCATCGGGCCTCCCTCCTCAGCCCTCGAGGCAGCGGCCTGGCCTTCAGCGTGATGGAGGGCCCGTCACAGGAAGGTTGTTTACCGGCCCTGCCGAGCACAAGGTCCCCACGTCCCTGATTTAGCTCCTCTGCCTCTCGGGGAGCCTGACACGTCCAACATTTCATTCCTGCGTCTCCTGCTCTGTCCTTTTCACCTACAGGAAGCCAGGCCCACAGGCCTCACCCCGCACGGCAGACCAGGGGCCCGCACATGCGAGAGGCCCCGCCAGTGAGACGGTGCGGCTGCCGCAGAGGCCTGGCGACGGGGAGAGCAAGGGCGACCGTGTGGGTTTCAGCCCCTCAAACACAAAGCCAGTGTTATTCCAACCCTCTGTGGGTCATTTACACGGACTGACACTGAAGATTATTTTTTTCTGACGTATTGGTTAGGGGAAATTACTATTTTGTTAATTACACAACACTAAGTAATTGCTGATCTTAGCTCCATAATTAGAAGTTTCCAGGGGATGTTTATCAGGGTAACGGGGCAGGCAGCCGGCGGGACTGACTCTCCCAGGGATGTGCCTATCGATCGGGGTGAGATTTATCCCGGCGTCTCCCGGCGCCGGCGGCGAGACCTCTATAAAGCACAGTCAGACCATTTAAACCGGCTCGGATGTTTCTTAAAGACAGGGCCTCTACATCAAGAGGAAAACAGTACGTAGGAACCAGTGGCTACACGGACAGACGCAGAAATCAAAGAAAAAGGCACAGTCACAGCAGCTGAGAGCAGAGGCCCCGCGGCCCGCCCTCTCACACATGTGGCCTGTTCTCAGGTGTCTAAGTCACTTCCTCAACCAGCACCCACTCCGCCAGGCCCCGGGCGAAGGGGGACACGGAGGCCGGGATCTAACCCTGGGCGTCTTACAGGGAAGCCAGCCGAGAACAAGGCGATCCCGGCTAACCGGATTTCTCACCGCAGCCCGCAGCCCGCAGCGGCCGCCGGCGCAGACCGCACGGAGCAGATGCACAGATAGCGGCGTCTATTCTGGGAACGGCGCGCACCTGAGCTGGGCGCTGCCACTCAGCCACCCAATCGCTCCATCTACAGCCCTGGGAATGAGCACTGTCTCCAAGGACTCCAGCGAGCGCCTGCACATCAGCTCCAGAGCCGGTCTCGTCTCCGCGCCCGCCCCTCCTCCCTGCTCCTTCCTGACAGGCAGAGACGAGGCGGAGGCGCCTCCCCTGCTCCCTGCCCTCGATCAGACCCCTGCCTGCCCTGCCGCACGCACAGCGCCCGCCTCAGTTTACCCTGTTGGACACACACGCCCCCAGTCTCTGGCCTGGCCAGGCCCTCCAGCCTTCAGAATGGGCATCTCCTCGACCAACGGCTTCCCGCTCCTCAAGCTGCTCCTGCCCCAAGCCACCAGGCTGGACACTCTGACTCTCCCACCCACACAGCACCCAGGCTGTGGGGCAGCCCTCAGGCTCCCACCCGTGAGAGGTGCATGTCCCCGTCAGCTCGGAGGCGGTGGAGGTGCTGACACAGCCTCTGCAAGCAGCTCACATGCCCATGGCCACACCGCCAGCCACTGGGCTCGCCACCGCCTGCACCCTCTGCTGGGCATTTCCCTGAAGAAGACAAGATCGCCCTCTGCTGGTCCCAGGGGGCTGCACACCCCACAAAGCTGAGGCCCAACTGCTCAGAAACTCCTGGAAGTCACAGGCCCCCCCAGGGACTGGGGCTCCCTGTCCCAGCCCTCTCCCTCCTCATCCTCTACCCCAGGGTCTGGTGAGGAGGGACCGAGTGCACCAGAGCCCAGCTCTCTGCTTAGGGCTGAGCCAGGGCCAGAGGCTTCGCCCCCCACCCCCTCACCTGCTTGCTGCGAGGCCCCTCGGGCCCGATGTGCAGTTCCTGGGATCTCCGTAGGGCAGATTCCAGGTCAGCCTTCAAGTCGATGGCGGCCTCCAAGTGCTGGCCACGGGTCCCTGCGCGGGTGAACAGCTGCCAGCAAGGGGGCGCGTCACCCGGGGGCTGGGCACCCCCCCCCCACCCCGGCATGCCCTGCACTCCCAAGCACGCCTCCCCGGACCCAGGCGCCCGGCCTCCCCCAGACCCAGGCACCTGGCCTCCCCGGATCCAGGCACCTGGCCTCCCCGGACCCAGCCTCCCCCGGACCCGGGTGCCCGGCCTTCCCCGGACCCAGGCGCCCGGCCTCCCCCGGACCCGGGCGCCCAGACTCCCCAGGACCCAGCCTCCTCGGACCCAGGCACCTGGCCTCCCCGGACCCAGTCTCCTCGGATCCAGGCGCCCAGCCTCCCCGGACCCGGCCTCCTCGGATCCAGGCGCCCGGCCTCCCTGGACCCAGGACTCAGGAGCCCGGCCTCACCTGGACCCAGGCGCGCACGGCCGGCAGGAACTTGTTCTGGATGAGCTTGAGGGCATCCTGGGCCGACTGGATGACAGCGCAATTGTCCTCGTTCTCCTGCACCCTGAGGCCGTCTGCAAGGGGGTGCGGGGTCACCAGAGGGACCAGGGCCCGGCAGGTCACCGGCACTCCTGCCCATCCCAACCGCGTCACAGACCCCGTGGGACCCCAAGCCTGACTCCTAAGAAGACCTGCTGCTTTATGATTTTGGTGAAGACCAGGTCAGCCTGACCTGACCGTCCTTTCCCCCAGCCCTAGACCTCTGCGGCTTCCCGGACAGACAGACCGGACCCCCACGCTGCCCCCACTGCTTCTCCCTGTGCCCAGCCAGTCCAGCTGCACCCCGCCTCCCACCAGCTGCCAGCTCCCTGCCCGGGCACAGGTGGGCAGGTCCTTGGGGCTCACCGCCCACACCCCCAGGCATGGACTTTGGGGCCCAGGAAGTGGCGAGGAGAGGCGGCGGGTGTCTGGGGTGAAGCTGCGAGGCTGGGGCACCAGGCCCTGTGGGCTCTGAGCGGCACACCTGTATCTTTGCAGACACAGAGAGAAGCTGCTTCTCCCCCTCGTTTCTCCCCGGCTCTGGTGGCCACCCTGTGACCCTGCCGGACTGGGCAGCGGCCACAGCCACCCCCGTGCTCCAGGGCAGCTGGCGGCCTCGCTGCCCGTCCCCATGAGGGTACAGGGCGGGCCTTGGGACCCACGACCTCACCCCATCCGGGGCCGGGCCCTGCTCTCAGCCCCAAGAAGGCTGGGCTGTGGGAAGTGCCGAGGCCCTGGCCACGGCCACGAGGAGCCCGAGCAGCGGCAGGGCAGGTACCTGAGGGTAGCTCCACGGCCAGCGTGTACTTGTGGGAGCCCAGCCCGTGGCTCCGCACAAAGTCCTCCTGGTCGCTGTCCCCCGTGTCCTCCTCGTCCTCCGAGGAGGCCCCCGTGGCGGCCACCGGGTGGCGCACACAGGCAGGCAGGCTCTTGCTGCAGCAGGGCTGCTCCTCATCCCCCAGGCCTGGGGCGCTGGCTGGGCCGGGGGGGCCCACTTCGGGTGCACCAGAGGCTGTGGCAGGCGAGACGGCCCCCCGGCACAGCTCCAGGCCAAAGGGCACCAGCAGCTGGAAGCAGCTGTCCACCTCCGCGAGGCAGCCCCGGATGTCCCCGCACATTTCTGCGAAGATCAAGACGCTCGTCAGTCACGTCCCAGGATAGCACCGCCCATCAAGGAGACCCATCCAGCAGCAGGCGGGCTGCCGCAGCTCAGGCCCTCCCCCCGAGCCCAGCACCCGCTGCAGCCGCAGCCCCGGGCCATCCTCCCACCTCCTGCTGACCCCGAGGGTCTTCTCGTAGCGGGGACAGCCACTCCTCCGCAGGTCTGAGTTCCACGTGGACGTGCTGCCTCAGGCCATGAGGACCCCCCCACCCCAGCCTGAGTGCACCTGCACCCATGCCCCTCCTTGGGCCCAGCGACCTGCTGTGCACCTGCCTCGCCCTGGCCAGAGGCAGGGCCACCTCACCCTGCTCACACCCTGGCTGTGAAAGCAAGTGCTGGGGTTGGCGGGGCTGGCAAGAGCAAGTGAGGCCAGGAGACGAGGAGTAAAGCTCGGACACAGACCACAGGCCACCAAAGGACACACATCTTATCTCCCTGCCTGGGCAATGTGGGGAGGGGCTGTCAGCGTGGCCACCTAGGGGCTGTCACAGGGCCCCTCCGGTCTCCCACCAGGAGAGGTTTCTTGGGCCAGAGCAGGGGTCCCTGCCCACCTGTCGCCCCTCTCCCCTGCCGGGTCCTGGAGACTCACCCTCCATCTCCCGCACGGCCTGCTCGGACCTTTCCCGGTAGATTCTGTCCAAACGCCTCTGCTTCTCCTCCTCCCGCTTTCTCTCCGCCAGAGTCCTGGCATTCACATCCTGGAAATCCACCTGAGAAATTGAGATACAGATGAGACCCAACTGAATAGAAGCCAAAAAAGTCAAAACAGGCCTAAGAGCAGCACATCGGCCCACGGCCAGGCCTCAGTGTGCCCAGTTCAGTGTCACAAGGGACCCTGCAAGAGCCCAGCCTGCAGCGCCATCCAACAGCGAGGCGGTCACTCCCACCGGCAGGGAAGGGTGGCTGCTGGCGAGGACGCTGGGACAGGCGGCACCCAAAGGGTGGGAGGGGCCGAGGATGGGGGCTTGTTCACGAGGGCTGCATCTGAGAAGCTGACTCCCTGTCCTTCCTTCCCCCGCCCACCTGCAGGCACCAGGTCCACAGGCTCCGCTCCACTCACCCTGGGAGGGCGTCCCGGCTTCCTCCCAGAGCACTGCCTCCACCTGCTGGCCACTCTCAGGCCTGCTCCGTGCCCAGCCCTGGCCCAGCCGCCGATCTGTCCCCCGCGACGCACCTGCCGGCTGTGTCTCAGGAAGTGGTAGCCCAAGGCGAGCTTCTTATAGGCCGCGCCGAACTTCTCGCTCCAGCCCTGGACGGCCCGGGCGGCGGCCTGCCTCAGCCTCTGGGCCGCCTCCCGGGGCGGCGGCAGGGGCTGCCGGGGGTCGGTGCCCAGCGTGAGCTCCAGGAACCCCTGGAAGTCGGACACGACCAGCAGCCTGAACAGGTGGGAGCGGGCGAAGAGCTCGTCCACGATCTGGAAGGCGGAGAGGCGGACCTCGGCGTGCTCCTGCCTCAGCTGGGCCGTCAGCAGGTGGTAGGTGCGGGTCAGCTGCTCCTCCGAGGACCTGGGGACCCGGCTGTCCTTACCAAGCGCCCGTGGGCGAGCACAGCCGTCAACGCCGCGTGGGGGGTCCGCCAGAGGCAGGGCCGCGCGCCCCTGCCCTCACTCTCCCCTTGGGGTGGCCAGCCCAGCCCCCTTCTGCTTCTGGAAAACCGGAGCCCCGCCGGCCGGTGCTCCGTGGGCTAGGGCGTCGTCCTGTGCACCAAAGGGTGTGGGTTCAACGCCCAGTTAGGGAGGGTGCGGGAGGCAGCCCACGGACGGTCCTCTTTCTCTTTCTTCCTCTCTCTGAATATCCTCAAGTGAGGTTAAGCAAAAAGGCATAACAAAAGAGCCGGAACCGGTTTGGCTCAATGGATAGAGCGTCGGCTTGGGGACTGAAGGGTCCCGGGTTCGATTCCGGTCAAGGGCATGGACCTTGGTTGCAGGCATATCCCCAGTAGGGGGTGTGCAAGAGGCAGCTGATCGATGACTCTCTCTCATCGATGTTTCTAACTATCCCTCTCCCTTCCTCTCTGTACAAAATCAATAAAATATATTTTTTTTAAAAAAGACGTAACAAAAGAAGCCCACAAGCCAAGAATGGTTTTTAGTCTTAAACGGTTGAACGGAGTGAGCCTCAGACACGTGGAAGTTACAGGACACAGCGTCAGGGAAACGGGACTGGGGTGGCAGCCGGGTCAAGCCCCTGGCTTTCCTCGGCTGAGCGGGTGCACCCACCACTACCCGCCGACTGCCCGAGCGCCACTGCTGATGGGGGTTTTCTGGGAAAACCGCGAAACCGGTCTGGGCTGACACCTTTTGGTGGAAATGTAAGTTTTTCATCACTTAATGAGCAATCCTCCCAATCTCCTGCTTTGTAAACACGGGCTAAGGCTGACCCACAAAGCTCCGCCCGCGTCCCCAGGGTCTGAGCGGGAGAGGAGGGCGGGGTGCCACACAGGCCACCCCCAGGGGCCACCTGCCCACCTGGGACCCCTCCCCTTCCCCCATGGCCTAGTCCGCCCATGACAGCAGCAGGCGTGTGCCCTCCAGAGACATACCCGTCACCCACACGGGAGACGGGACTCCGCCCCGGTCCCACCGGGTTCCCGCACCCCCACCGGGACCACTGCCCCCAACGCTGCAGGGCCTGGGGTTCTTTCCCCGCTGAGGCGCCGGTGGGGGCCTGAGACGGAGGCCGGTGAGACATGCCGGGGGCCCAGGGGAAGCCCGCGGGAGGGGCTCGGGCTCGCTGGGCGGCCAGTCCCCGCGGGACGCCGACCCTGAGGACATACTTGCAGATCTTCTTCAGCTCCTTCATCTTCGCGGGGTTCAGCTGGGGCTCTCCGGAAGTTGTGAGGTCTTCGATCAGCTCCGAGAGCCTCTGGTCCATCTCTAGACGCGGAAGGCAGGGAGCTCAGGCGCAGCCAGTGCTTCCTTCCCGGCTCCGAGGGCACGGCCTCCTGCGCCCACAGAGGGGCGGGGCCGGGCCTGGGCCGGAGGCGGGGGCAGAGGCGGGGCCTGGAGGCGGGGCCGGGGCCGGGGTCCCCCGCCCGCCCCAGGACGCAGCTCCTGGAGCCAAAGGAGAGCCGTGCCGGGCGCTTTGGGCGGGAACGAGGGAAAGTGCAACAGCCGAAGCTACCTCTGGGAGTGGGCGCGCGGCAGGGAGCTGCCCTGAGCTCCGGGACGGGGCTGCCCTGGGCGGGGACGCGGACTGCTCCGTGGGACGCGGTGCGGAGGTGGGGCGGCCGCCTGGAGTGCAGGGTCTGCCGTCCGCAGAGCCCACTCCGCACCCAGGCCCGGCCGCGGGGGACGGGGGCCGCCGCCTCTCTCCGCAGAGCGGACTTGCGCCCGGGGCACCTGGAGGCCGGCAGGGCGGCGGGCACCGGGCTGGCGCGTCCCGGAAGGAGCGCTCGAGAGCAGTAACTTCGGGGGCGGCTCCACAGGGGCCTGCGGGCGGGCTCGGCTGGCGCCCCGGGGACCCGACCCCCGCCCCGCCCCGCCCGCCCGCCCCCAAAGCGGAACTCGCACCCACGTCCAACGACGCAGCCACCACAGCACCTACCGCGCCACCCGGTCGCTGGTCTCGCCCCGCCCCTCCCGGCGAAGGGCCCGCCTCCTGTCACGTGCCCAAGACCGCGCCAGTCATTGGCTCGCCCCGACCCAGGCGGAGCGCGGAGATCAGTGAGGTGACGTCCGCGTTTACTACGGCGGCGCGACGCAGCCGCTCTGGCCTGAGCCCCGCCTGTTCCGGTGGAGGGCCCGCCCTCTATCACGTGATCCGAGGTCGCAGCCAATGGGTCGGCCTGACCCTGGGGGCGGGGGAGGGGCCGAAGTCTGCGCGCGGTGACGTGAGCGAGCTCCCTGCAGGGGCGGGAAGGGGTAGAGCGTCCGCCGCGGACGACGCGCGAGAAAAAGGAGGCGGGAGGGCGCAGCAAGTCTTTAAAGGGGCCGCGCGCGCCTGCGCCTGCGCCTGCGCGTGCCGGGCTGGCCGGAGGGGTGCGGGATCAGGGTGCACGTCGCGGCCGCCAGGAGGCTCGCCCGAGCCGGGCCGGGTGGGAGCTGGTGCGCGTTTCTCCCAAGGTGCCCAGGCCACCGCCCTGGTGCCAGGAACATCCTGATAGGGCTGCCCCTGGGGCGGGCACACGGACCGGCTCCATGGGGCCCGATGCGAAGGGGAAGAGCCGTGGACCGGCTCCGGCCCCTGCCCAGCACCCTTTTCGGAGCCGCCTCTGCAGGTGACCCACCTGCCTGGACCCCCGTCGCCTTCCCGGGACTCCCCTCGCCCTGCCCAATGGCTGCTCCACGGGGCGTGGGCACCAGCCTGGGTGTGCCCACCCTGCACCCCACACCCCCTTTTTACCCGCATCCTGTGAGGCTGAGGAGTGTGGACATCCTGACCGCGGGGGCTCCTGGTGCAGCCTGGGAACTGGGGTCCGGCCACATTGGACCTTTGCACCCAGTGCTCCCCTAGCATCCTAACTGGCCATCACCTGTTCCTGGGCTCCAGGCCAGCAGCCCAGAGGAAGGCCCTGGCTCACTCTCCACTCACAGCCAGGCCCTGCACCCATGCCCACTGAGCTCTGTACTGGCCTCGGGGCCTTTGCACATGCTCCGTGCCCTGCCCTTAACCCACAGGCCACGTGCCGCCTGCCTCAGCCTTTCCTCCCAGCGGCCTGCTTGGCCCCCGGTGCTTTGGTCTCGGGGACCTGCTCGACCTGGTGCTCAGCGTGGCACCAGCGCACACAGGTGCTCAAGCAGCAGATGGAGTGCTTTTAGGACCTGCGCTGGGAAAACGGCATGGACGGCTAAGGACGTGGGCCCACACGGAAGCTTTTTGCAGACTTTTATGAGCTGATCCTAAAATGTATGCAAGGAAACTAGAAAAGCCAAGACAACTCATAAGTAGAAAATAAGTATTGCAAAAGGGACTCACTCTCTTTCAAGACTGAGTTGGTGTGGCTAATGGTTGAGCATCGACCTATGAACCAGGAGCTCAGGGTTTGACTCTTGGTCAAGGGCCTGCACCTGGGTTGTAGGTTCGATCCCGGCCATCGGGGCATGTGTAGGAGGCAACCAATCAATGTCTCTCATATCAATATTTCTCTTTCCCTCTTCCCTCACTTCCCCTCTAAAAATCAATGGAAGCTGAAATCGGTTTGGCTCAGTGGATAGAGTGTTGGCCTGGGAACTGAAAGGTCCCAGGTTCAGATTCCGGTCAAGGGCATGTACATTGGATGTGGGCACGTTCCCAGTGGGGGGGGGGGGGGGAAGGCAGCTGGTCCATGTTTCTCATCGATGTTTCTAGCTCTCTGTCCCTCTCCCTCTCTGTAAAAAATCAATAAAATAGTTTAAAAAAATAAAATCAATGAAAAAAACATCCTTGGGTGTGGATTTAAAACCTTCCAGCTAAAGATTCCTGGGGAACTGCTCAGAGGGAGCCCTTGCTGCTGGCGGGGACCCAGCAAGGGGCCTGGTTCACCCCAAGGCCAGGGGGGACGTGGGAAGCTGCTGCTCACCACGCAAGCCCAGTGGCAGGTGGAGGCAGGGAAGGCGCTGGTGGCCACGCTAGATCCCTGATGGGAGGGCAGACGAAGGCGTGCCGAGCAAGACACCCAACGGAGGCTCATCTCTTCGGTGCAGGCGCTTGGAGCAGCTGACGTCAGAAGCTCGTTGGCAGCGACAGCTGTCCTGAATGCGGAGGGTGTCTGTGCCACGGACTGGAGGCCGCCCGGTGCGGCCGGTGTTTGGCCAGATTCACCGGGTCCCGCCCATCCTCACGGCCACGCCGGGCCCAGGAGGTGTGGCTGCGGGTGGCCCTGGCCGAGCTCCCTGTCCTCTGGTCAATGTGAAGAACCACCTGGCCAGCTGGACGGACACGAGGCAACTGTCGCTCCGTCATGGGGTCAGGACAGTGTCGCTCTGTTCACTGATGAATTTGCCGACCACTGACCTAGACTCTCCATTCCAGTATTGCAGGCTGCTGTTGTTCCTTGTGATTAAGCCCCTATCTCATGGTTGGAAAGTCATTAGTCAACAGAGCTGCAAACCACAGCAGCTAACGAGCCAGTGTGCTGACCACTGGGTTAGGAGGGGAAGGGGCCTGCGGCCCAGGGGGCCTGAGTCAGGCCCACCTTCGAGCTGCTGACGACACGGTGGGCGTGGGGACAGCAGACAAGGCCACGGCGTCAGGAAGGCAGAGCCGCTCCCACTCACACGGAAACGAGAAATAGAAACCCTTTTATTGACATGGTTACATGTACAGTTTATTAGCTAAGCAACATCCACATGCAACTGAGCACTAAGCACAAACTACGGACAGCGGCGGCGGCTATTCGGGTCCCTGGTCCTCGTCGCTGTGGTCACTTGCTGGACGTCTGTCTGTGACGACAGCGTTCGGAGCCGAGTGTCACCACACGCGGGCCTCGCAGATGGCCACGGGCCCCATGGGGGCACGGCCACGCAGGCAGGAGGTGAGAGCTGTCCACGCGAGGAGCCGCCACGCAGGGCCCGCCTGCTCCCAGGCTGGTCACGAGCAACAGGGAGGACACTTTCTGAGACGTCCTTGGGTCTCCCTGGTGTCCAGTGGTCTTGAGTCTCCGGAAGGCGCCGGAAGGCGCCGGTCCTCCCCAGAAGAATCAGCTAGTTGACTCCGGTTACCAAGTCCTACACTCACGTGTGGCTCCAAGTACAAGCTGCTCCCTCTCCTCCCTCTCCTCCTCTCCTCTCCTCCCTCTGCTCCTAAGCGTCTGCTGTTGCTCACGGTCTTTGGTCGCAGGAGACAGGCACAGAGGGTGGCGGGGCCGCCTACATGATGTACACCTTCTCGGCCTGGGAGAAGTGGAAGACCTCTTTGGTTCGCGGGCACACCACCTTGTCGTCTTGGCGGATGGAGAGCAGAGACTGCGAGAGAAGGGGAACCACCGGTGACCGGCAGCGTCCTGCAGGAGGGGGGCCCCAGAACCCCCCAGCCCGCCCCGCGGCCCCCAGGCCCCACTCACATTGTAGCCATAGACGTAGCCGTTGGGCAGCATCATGGGCGGGTTGTTCTCGTTCATCACGTCGCCAGAGATCTTGCAGACCAGGCGGGAGTTGGCGCAGTGGGCCATGGGCAGGGGCTGCGCCAGCTTGTTCAGGGAGCGGCTGCACACGGGGCAGTCGGGGCTCCGGGAGCTGCCGTCCTCCTTGTAGCACTGCCTGGCGCCGGTTAAGGAAGGTCACGGCCCACTCCCCCGAGGCGGAGACACCGGGCTCAGCAGGAACGCAGCCAGAGGCCGAGGAGGCAGAGCCCAGAGGCCACGTGGGAGCAGGGACCCTGCATGGCAGTGCCTCGCACGGAGAGCACTCACACGGCCAGGACGGCCGCCTTCCCCACAGGCAGGGCTGCCCCACACGCCAGCGCCAGAGGGTGAGCAAAGGCGCACAGCCCTGATGGTGCTGGAGGGGACCCCGTGCACTCGAGGGACCCACAGACCAGCCCGGAGCCCAGCCAGCGCTCTGGCCCAGGGAGGCTCCGCTCCGGGGAGCACGCCCGCTGGGACAGCAGACACCACAGGCCCGGAACCCACCAGAAAGCCATTCTAAATGGCCCGTCCCGCTGCCAGAGGCACGCACGCTTGCTCTCCGTGGAGGGGTGTGGCAGGGCGGGTTTCTACGACAGCCGGCGCCACCCGGGCGGGCCCGCACGCGGGACCAGGGCACAGCCAGAAGGATACGGAGTCTTGATGGCCGAGAGGCCGGCCTGCAGGGTGAGGGTGAACACGGAGCTGTTCCCCAGCTGGTGCAGCCGGTAGTTGTCGTACCGGAACTGCTGGATTAGCATCCTCCACCGGGCCGGGTCCAGCAGGTCCTGGAAGGGAAGGCAGAGCTGGGCTACTGGCCGGGCCCTTCCCCACGGGCGCTGAGGGGGGGTCCCGCAGACTTGGGGCACGGACAGGTCTCCGTGAGCTGTGAGCTGGCAGCACAGGGCTGAGCTAGCGGGAGCCTCCTGCTAGGAGCACAGAGTGAACAAACTCCTTCCAGGATATAAAGGCTCAGTCTGGCCGTGTCTGCCCAGTGATCGAGTTTACACTCAAAGGCGGGTGTGTGTGTGTGTGCCTGTGTGTACCTGTGTGTGTGCATGTGTGTGTTTGTGTGCCTAGGTGTGTGTGCCTGTGTGTGAGTGTATGTGTGTGTGTACGCATGCCTATGTGTGTGTGTATGTGTGTGCCTGTGTGCATGTGTGTGAGTGTGTGTGTATGTCTATGTGTGTCTATGTGTATGTATGTCTCTGTGTGTCTGAGTGTGTGTGCCTGTGTGTGTGCCTGAGTGTGTGTGCCTGTGTGTGTGAGAGTGTATGTGTATGTATGTGTGTCTATGTGTGTGTATGTATGTCTATGCGTGTGTGCCTGTGTGTGTATGTGTGAGAGTGTATGTGTGTGTGTGTGTGTGTGTGTGTGTGTGTGTGTGTATGTGTGTATGTATGGGGGGGCGGGGGCGCACAGATGAAAAGGAAACCCCTGACGTCAGCCCGGGAGACCTCAGTCAGCTGCCCACCCCCCAAGCCCAGCGGCCACCACATGGCGCGCCCGGCTCTCAGCCCAGCACAGGAGAGGGCAGCTCTGGGCCTCCTCCCGGCCTCGGCTCCGCCTGGTCCTGCCTCCCGTGTGGCCATCACACTCCAGGAACCCCGCCGGGCCGGCAGCTGCCCGGGCATGCGCTCCGGTTCTCTGCGGGCTCCGCAGCCTCGGCTCTACGCTCCTGTGCTGGAGCTGTCGCCTCCAGGCCAGGCTTCTCCCGTGGAACCCCGGGCAGCAGCACCAGGCCCCGCGGAGGAGGCACAGCCTTTCCTGCCCACGAGCTTCCTCCAGAGCAGGGCCATGCGTGGCTCAGACGGCGTGTGAGCTCACACCAGGCCGCCAGGACCCGGGCCTTGGAAGGGGATTCATTCGGGGAAGCTTCCAGACACCCTGCAGGGGGTGGAGCCGCCAGAGGCTGCTGGCGCCCTAGGGGTGGCCCCGCCTGGGATGGGAGAGGCTGCAGGGGAAGCGCTGGGCGCAGCAGTTTCAAAGTTCAGACAGCAGGGCTGGCTCAGCCAAGGAAGGAAGTCACTTGGGTCTCAGACAGGGCGGGAGGCGGCGTGGGGAGGACTCAGAGCTTGCGGCAGCATCCTGATGACCAGGGTCCACCCCCACCCCATGCCCACCCCCAGCCTCCAGGACGGAGACACGGGCGCGACACAGGGCTGCACAAAGCACAGGAGTGGCTCTGGACGGGCAGCGGGTGGAGGGCTGAGGAAGGGCTGCGGTTACCTTGTAGGGGGAGATGTGTGTGTCTGGCGGAAAGGCCAGCATGCCCATGACCTGCCGGACCTCGTCCAGCTGGCTCCCCTCGGCCTGGCTGAAGTGCTTCCGTGCGTGTCTACGAGACAACGTTGTTCTCCTCAGTTTGCTCACCTTCCAGAGCCTGAGCTCAGGCTGTGCTCAGCACGTGGGCCAGGGTCTGTGGGAAGCGCAGTTCGCCGGGGCCGACCCCACCGAGGGACTGGGATGGGACGGTGCGAGGTGCCCCAGCGAGTGCCCCACAGACACTGGAGACAGTTACGCAGCCCCGGCCCGAGCCCTTCAGGACCCACAGTGCCCCCCCGACCCAGGGACAGGACGGGCCAGCCCTCCCGTGCGGACCCGTGCGCCCATTGCGCTGCATACCGCACGGCATCCAGCCTCTTGTTCTGCCGGATGAGCTCGATGAACTCCTGAATCCGGAGGCTGAACTCCAGGCAGCTCTGCGGGCAAAGGCAAGACAAAGCTTCACGGTGGCGCCTCGGAGCCCTGTCGCCCGGCCAACCCCAGACCAGCTTGGTGCCGGGCACCCGGCGCTCCGGGCAGGCCTGCCGCCGGCCCCAACCTGTCCACAGCCCACGGCTCAGGGCCTGTGGTTCAGGGCCTGGCCTCTCCTGGCGCAGCCTCGGCAAAGCATGGTGGGAGCAGCACTGCCACCCTGGCCGAGGCCCTGGGAAGCGGGGTGAACCCCACAGGTGTGACCAAGGTGAGAAGCTGCTGGGGTCCCCGAGCAGGTCAGAGTGTGGGGGCAGACATCCTGGGCAAAGCAGGTGCCACGGGGACAGCTCCCTCTGCACGAGCCCTTCTCCACCCGCCCCTCCTCCTGGGCGCCAGCCTAAGTCACAGCATCAAAGCCACACACACCCTGACCGCCAGGCTGTCCCGCACAGACCCCGGGAGGCTGGCCTCGGCAGAGCGTGAGGGAGTCAGGAGCCCCAGGACGGCTGAGGCGGCTGCGTGTCTGACAAGGGCCAGCCCACAAGCTGCACATGACATTGTGGGGCACTAGCACCCACCAGCAGGTCCCGGTACAGACACCCAGGCAGTAACGCCGAGACCTCAGACACCCAGCCCTGTGGGGGGAGGGGACAAGCTGGCGGCGCCGTCTCCGCCTTCAGAGAACTGCGGTGCTCCACCCGAAACGCAGTCGGGAACGGAGGCACAGCCTCGTCGCCCCTCACCCTTCGAGTCTCCCGACACCCAGACCCCAGTGGCCTGACTGGAGACTGCCCACAGCAGGTCAGGTCAGCGCCCACGGCCACATCTGTTCTCGGCTCACGCGTGCTTCTCCCGCCCGAACTCCTGGCTGCAGGCAGCCCCGCTCCGCAGTGACTCGAGCCCCACCCGTGCCACGGACCACGTGGTCCACCATGGACGCTCTTCCCGGACCCTGGGGCCAGCAGGCAAAGGTGCGAGAGCCACTCACCTGTGCCCACCTGCCCCTCAGGGGGCTCCCGCTCTCGCCCTCCCCCGTGCCCAGGACGGGGAGAGGGAGAGCACGCCAGAGGCACCAGGACACTGGGACAGCTCCGCACGGCCGTCTCTGCGGTTCACGAGGCGCTCTGCTCCAGGCTCGCTCTCACAGCAGCTCCCCACCCGCCCGTCTGACGCTGACGAGGGCCCCGGAACAGCTCCTCTGCACCTGCCACCGTCCCGCAGCCAGACCCGTGGTGCGTCAGGCGAGGCCCGACGGCAGGCCGCTCGCAGTGACCGTCACGGAAGCACCGTGGTTGGGTGGCCGAGAGAACCGACCACGGACCACGCCTGAACTCCGTGGCTTCCAGGCTCTGTGCACACCACCTCAAGCGCCTGCAGACCCCGGTCAGCGCACGCACCGGCTCGAACCCGGCACCTCCGGCTACCTGGCACCCGAGCCTCCGAGCGCCTTCCCTCCTCCAGCCTCCTGCCTGCCCGTGGACCCCTGGCCCTGGTGGGACCCCTGCGTGCACACGTGCACACGTGTGGAGGCAGCGTGTGCCCTCCTGTTGGGCCGTATCTGAGCAGCCGCTCGGATGTGAGGGCGCCTCCCAGCGTGCTGTGTGACTGCTTCCGAGCCGCCGGCCCGCCCGCCCGCCGCTCGCCCACTGGCTGCGCGGCCTCCGAGAGCAGCCGGGGGCCTGGGAGGCAACGGGCTCGCGGGGACGACCTGCCCGGACGGAAGCCCATTTCCTCCCGGCCCGGGTCCCGCCTGCGGGCAGCACGGCTGTGGGGAGGCGGGGCGGGGCGGCAGGAGTTACGTACCAATTCTGGCTTTCCTCTTATGGTTTCCATACCAAGATCCTCACTCTCCTTAGGGGAGCCACTGGCCACTCTACTTTTCCGTCCCGGCTTCGCGTCATGCTCGCCCTGGCGGCCCTGAGTGGCAGAGAGTGTCACCCTGGCTGGTCACCACGTGCACATGACAAGCACACGGGCGGGGAGGCGCTCGCAGGAAACAGAGGGCAGGCTCTCTAAGGGAGGCGGAGATTAACGGCTGACGAGTCTGTGGGCCGCAAGCACCTCTCCACAGCGTCACTCTGCGGGCGCAGGGTCCGTTCACAGGCTGCTGTGGGCCTAAGTGAGCCGCATTCTCGAACACCCGCCCGGAGCTCCGCACCCTGCAGGCGCCTGGGACGGACGATGCAGGCGGCGGCCGGGCTCCAAGCCCAGCGGCGCCCATGCTGCTTGCACGTGACCGCCATGGCTCCCTCCGAGCCTCATGCTAACATCGGTCCAAACCCCAATGCAGAAGGGGGCGCACCACCCGGAATATCAAACCCCCGCACCACACCCAGCAGCCCGCAGGTGTCCGCAACCAACACTCAGACCCAGCAGGTGCAGGCGGCACCGCCTCAGCCCCCCAAGCCCCGCCCCAGGCCCCGCCCTCCGGGAGCCCCCAGCACCTTCATCTTGCGCAGCCGGGACTTGTTGTCGTGGCACCAGGCCAGGCACGTGGCCGTCTCGCGCCTCTCCAAGGACTCCTCCACCTCTTTGGCGGTCAGGAACATCTCGATGTTCACCAGGTCCTTGGGGGGCAGTGGCGCACGCTCAGAGCACGGCCCCGCACTGGCCCCTCCCCAGGCCCCCGCACGGCCCGGCCCGGCCCTGCCCTCTGATGGCGCATGCGCCCCTCGCTGGCCGCTCCAGGGGCGCAGGGGTCCGCAGGGCAGGGCACAGGGGACCCCCGCCAGCAGCCCTTGGACACGGGAGGAGCTGGGGCTGGCCCACCCCGCCCTTCACAGGAAGCAGGGAGCCGCCAGCAGCCCTTCCCGAGGACCGAAGCTGGAGGTTAGATAAAGGGGCCAGAGGGGACGGGTTGGTGGGGTTCAAGGTGGCGGGACCGGCCCCAGGCCAGGCGGAAGGGCCCCGGGCAGAAAGGCGCCCCGGAAAAGACGGACACTCGGCGGTAAATGCCCCTCCGCCAGGGCGGCTGCGGCACGGCCCACAAGCAGGCCCTGGGCTGAGAACCAGCCCGGAGCGCCGCTGTCCAGGCGGGTCCCGGGGCCCGGAGGGGAAGGCGCTGTCAGGGCTGAAGCTCGGGAGGCAGGGGTCCCGGTGGGCGGTGTGTCGCTGCGGGGGAAGGGGCTCCCGCAGAGGGCAGAGCAGCCGCCGAGGGGCCCCCCGGGACATAAGGCTGAAGACTGCTCTCCCGAATTCCAAACGTGGCAGTTCAGCAGAGCGGGTCCCGGACAGCACCCGTCCCAGCGGCGCCGTGGAGGGCCATGGGGAGCGAGCCCGCCCGGAAACGGGCCGCACCAGCGGGCAGCGCCCAGCGAGAGGGTGTCCGGAGAGCCCGCGCTTCCCACCACGTCAGGCCTGGGTTCGGGACGGGGACCGCGCGGGGGACACACACACACACACACACACACACACACACACACGCCGGGGCGCGGGCAGGGGCGGGTGTGCGCGTGTGAGTGAGTGTGAGTGTGTGCGTGTGTGAGTGTGAGTGTGAATGTGTGCGTGAGTGTGAGTGTGCGCGTGTGTGTGTGTGTGTGTTGAGTGTGTGTGTGTGCGCGTGTGAGTGTGTGCGTGTGAGTGCGTGTGTGAGTGTGTGTGTGTGCGTGTGTGTGTGAGTGTGCGTGTGAGTGCGTGTGTGAGTGTGAGTGTGAATGTGTGCGCGCGTGTGTGTGTGTGCGTGTGTGAGTGAGTGTGAGTTTGTGTGTGCGTGTGTGTGTGTGCGAGTGTGTGTGTGTGTGCGTGTGTGAGTGAGTGTGAGTTTGTGTGTGCGTGTGTGTGTGTGCGTGTGTGAGTGTGAGTTTGTGTGTGCGTGTGTGAGTGTGTGTGTGTGCGTGTGTGAGTGTGTGTTGAGTGTGTGTGTGTGCGCGTGTGTGAGTGTGTGCGTGTGTGAGTGTGTGAGTGTGAGTGTGCGTGTGTGTGTGCATGTGTGAGTGAGTGTGAGTGTGAGTGTGTGTGCGTGTGTGAGTGAGTGTGCGTGTGTGCGCGTGTGTGCGTGTGCGCGCGCCCACCTCGATGCCGCTCTGCCGCGCCAGCTTCACGGCCGTGTTGTAGTATCCGCAGCGCAGCAGGTGCTCCACCATCATGCGGTCCATGCGCTTCCGCTTCCACAGGCTGGCGGCGGCCGGCTGGTCGCTGCTGTGCTCCTTGAGGTGCTCGATCCTTCGCTTGCACAGCTTGGCGCTCTCGTCCTCGGCCTGGATGGACTCCACCGCCTGCGACGGGCAGGGGCTCAGCGCGAGGCCCGAGATCACTCCCCCATCCCCCGCCGCACCCCTCCCCGCGGGCGCCGGTGCTCCCTCCAGAGGACCGCACCTGCTGGCTACGGCCCAGGTGTTCTGCAGGTGCTGCTTAGGCGCTGCCATGCACAAAGTTCAGTTACAGCTTCCTCTAGACCTTTATCGTTACAAACTGACCTTTTGTCGCTACAAACCCTCTTCCTTAAAGTCAGTTTTGTTCAAACCAACACATTGCTCTGCAATGCCCTAGCCCAGCCATCCACACAGCTCCCGGCACCCCCTTCCCAGTCGCCAGCTTCGGGGCGGCCAGCTGCCATCAGGGCATCTGCTGCTCCTTACAAGCGGGTCTCTCTCTCCCTCTCCTGCTTTTAATGTCCGTCTCAGCGTTTCACCGTTTTGTGTACCGCTTAGGGCCGTGGTCGGCAAACTCATTAGTCCACAGAGCTAAATAGCAGCAGTACAACAATTGAAATTTCTTTGGAGAGCCACATTTTTTAAACTTCAACTTCTAACGCCTCTTCTTCAAAACAGATACGCCCAGGCCATGGTATTTTGTGGAAGAGCCACACTCAAGGGATCAAAGAGCCGCATGTGGCTCTCGAGGCGCAGTTTGCAGACCACAGGCTTAGGATATGAACTGGCCCTGCTTGTGTCTCTGCCCACCGCCCAGCAACTACCCTCGTGCCCGCGACTGCTCCCACCTGCCCTCGCCGGACCTCCACGTCCCCGCGCTGCCCCGGCTCCCGGCTCCCGCCCGCCTCCGGCTCCCTGGCTCTCACGGCTGCTGTCTGAGGCTCAAGTGCTCCACTGTGTCGTAAGCAAGCACTTGAGTTTACACGTCATTTGTTTTTCATTTCTTGAAGTTTTATTTGGCCCTTTTGAAACTGAACCACTTGGTCTATTTTCTGCAAAAACTTTCAACTGTTCCTCCGTCCTTAAACACAGCGAAGCAGTGTCTACAGCTGCCGAGTCTGAGGTCTCGGCGGCCCTCGCTGCACTGTCTCCTGCCTGTCCGCGGCGCCCGGGTGCCTGCCCAGCACGTGGGGGATGGGACACACACCTCACACCACAGAACTGCGCTCACCCTGCCTGGCATCTCTGCGGCAGCTACGCCAAGTGAAGGGCTGCAATGCCTGTGGGGCACCACGCCTGGGTGTCCTCCAGAGGGGCAGTGCTCAGGGCTCGGGTCACTGTCTGCCAGGCCTCCGCCCCTGCTCCCCGCGGCCCTGTCCCCCTGGGGGGCCCTTCTTCTCCGAGTTCTCTGACGTTTAAAGCATCTCAATCTTTGGTTGTCTCCGTGGGCAAACCAGTGCCAACGCCCGCCTACCATTCCTAGAGACAACGCCCGCATGCTGTTCTGGGTGCAATTCCAAACACCTCCCCGCCCCCGCCCCCACCCAGACTGCCTGGGGGCTCGGGCACTGGGAGCCAGGACGGCTGGGCCCCGGGAACAAGGGGCTGGGAGCTGGCCTGAGGCTCTGAGTGCAGGCGGCAGGGAGGGCGCCAGCCAGCACAGCCTCCTGCTTCGGCCAGGACCCACCTTCCTCTTGAGGACGCTGAGCTTCTCCACCACACCGTCCAGCAGGCTGACCACGGAGTCCACGGCAGGGCAGCTGCTCAGGGTCTTCTCCAGCTCGGCCACCACCATGGTGACGTGGCTGGTCTCACGGTCGATGTTTTTCTGAGCAGCTCGGAAGCGTTTGTTCAGGGTTTCGTAAGGCACCTGGAGGAGAGAGGGCGCTGACCACCAGTCCCTGGGCACTCCCTTAGGAGACCCGAATGGCGTGGAAGACGGCACCAGCGGACGGTCCCTCGGTTCCTGAACGCAGAGACCAGTGGGAAGATGCACACCGCGGGCCGGTGGCTGAGCTGCGGGAGGCACCGAGCAATCCTCCTCCCTCTCCTTCCCTCTCCCTGAATTCAATGAGCCGCTCCTGGTGAGGATAAAAAATGTACAAAGCAAACCATCCCCACACCTCCGAGCCGGCGGAAATGGGTGCCACGGCAGACAGGAAGCAGGAGGCGCCGTGATCTCATCTGCAGTCCGCCCCAGCCCCCAATCCTGCCATTTACACCCTAAGGCTAGAGTCACCTTTACCTGGTCACCTTCCCAGGAAAGAAATCCCTGGGGATCAGTGCATGTCGGGGTGCAGGCACCCACGGCTGCAGAATCGCAGGTGGGCCTGAGGCCCAGTGTCCACCGGCCCAGCGCTGGCCCCCTGGGGTCCCGGCACCTCACGCTCGCTCCCACAGCCGCCAACACTCCCCCTCAGCCCCTCCTCTCGGCTGAGCCAGCCCAGCACCTCCACTCATCACCTCCAAGGGGCCCTCCCACACGGACTGGCCTGCCCCCCCTCCCCCCACCAGTCTGGCCAGAGCCAGGGCCTTGGGTGTGGCTAGCCCGCCCCGCAGGAGCTCCTAGAGTTGGCCTCCCAGGCTGTGTGGGTGCTGAGCCACGTGGCAGTCTCTCCTGCCAGCGGCTGCTCAGCCTCCGCCCAGGGCGCCCAGCCCAGCCGCTCCGGCCCTTCCACAGCCACCCTGCGTGGGTCCCAGCTCCTTCCCTGGCTCCTCCTCAGAGGGCTCTGGATGAAACAATGGATTCCAGAGGCCATGAGATTCCGGCCACAGCCACCCATCGCTGAGCGAGGGAGACAGGGCAGTCCAGCCGCTCAGGGGCCAGGGCCAGCACCCCCCCACGGGGGAAAGGACGTGGAGGAAGCCCTCAGCCAAAACAAACAGCCAATGAGGCGAGCGAGACGACGGAGACAGGAGCAGCAGGGAGAAAGAAACCAGGGAGAGACAGTCAGGCTGAAAACATGCAGGGAACACACACGCTGCCTAAATAAACGTGGTAGCAACATGGCTAGGAAGGAAACAGACTTTGGAAGAATTCAAAATAAATAAAAATGAGTCCCTAAAGGCTCAGGCAACACAATCTAAAGCAGCCAATGGGACCCCATCGAACGGAAACTGCTGACAGCAGCAGCCCTGACTACACAGAGAACTCCTACAGCGCAGCAAAACCCCGGGCAGAGGTCTCCACATGCCTCCGTCCCCAGGCAGCACCTCGGAGCGTGGAATGCAGAGACCAGCTCACGCCCACCAGGACGGCCGCCAACAGACCAATGCTGGCGGACGCGGGCCGGACCCTGCTCGCTGTGGGGCGGCAGGTCAGCCGCTGTGGAAACGGGCATGGCCAGCCCTCCCGCTCACAGGTGCACAGAAAGGGGAACGCCGCACAGACTTACTGGTAAGCCTGCCTCCACAGACGGGTTCCCAACCTCAGGGCAAAGCCCGTGTCCAGTGGTTGTTGGTCAAACAGTGGACGGGACCCCTGGGGATACAGGAGGCATTCCTGGTGAGAGCACCCGTCAGTCCACACGGGGCTGCTGGAGGGTACCCGTGCCCCTCAGAGACCTCTGCAGCCCTGCCCAGAGCTGAGAACGGAGGATCCTGAGGGTCCAGCTTCGGACGAAGGGCTCAAGAAAATGTGGTCTGGCCTGGCCAGTCGCTCAATGGTTAGAGCATTGGCCCTTGGAAGAAGGGTCTGGGTTTGAGTCCCAGTCAAGGGCATGTACCTGGGCTGCAGGCTCGCTCCCCGCCCTGTGGGGGCACGTGCAGGAGGCAGCCAGTCAGTGTGTCTCTCACACGGATGTTTCTCTCCCACCTCCTTCCCTCGCTTCCACGATCTGGAAAAAAGCGATGGAAACCATCCCTGGGGAGACTAACACGACCACACACAGTGGCCGCCGCTCGGCCGCACAGGCAGGGCCTGCCAGAGGCGACGGCACGGCGGACCCGGAGACACGGCGCCCACGAGCTAAGCCTGTGCCGCCAGCCCACTCCCGTGAAGTCCTGGAGCTGGCCACATCCCGACGGGAGGGGAGGGTGGGTGCCGGGCGTGGGGGGCAGGGGGGCTGTTGTTCAGTGGTGCCATGGACCCACCATGCCCCCACAATTCAAGGACAGATCCGCCCGACAAGATGGGCCGCTGGGAGGTGGTCCGCCACGAGGTGCAGCCTCACAAACGGGATTAGGGCCTCAGCAGGGTCCCGAGGACGCCCCTGTCCGCCTCGCCCGCCCCTGTCCGCCTCGCCCGCCTCTGCAACTGGAAGCAGCCTCCCCAGAGCCAGCCACGCTGCCCGACCTTGGACCTCCAGCCCCCAACCGCGGCGTCTCTGGAGTGGCCGCAGCCTGAGCTGCTCACACTGCTGTTCGGCTATTCTGGGTCCCTTGCATTTCCCTACAAATTTCAGGATTTGCTTTGTCAATTTCTGCAAAGAACCAGCTACAATTTTCTTACGGCTTGTGCTGAATCTGCAGATTAATTTGGAAAGTACTGCCATTTTAATAGTAAGTCTTATTCCTAGATATTTCATTCTCGGTTTCCTTTCCGGTGTTCATATCTAAGGTATAGAAACGCCTCCCATCCGGACTCTGGATCCTGCATGTGTGTTCTCCTAGGCGTGCACGCCTGAGAATTTTCCTGGTACAAGAGCATGCACTTGCGAGGGGCTTCGCTGCTCCTTTTCGACCTGAACGCCTCGTTTCCTTTTCCTGCCCCGACCAGGCCCTCGGGACGTTGCCGAGCAGCGAGAGGGACACCCGTCGGTGCCTGATGGCAGGCAGACCCCCTGGCCAGGCTGAGGAAGCTCCCTGGTCCATTGAGTGTTTCGTCATTGGGCAGTGCCGACTCGCCGAGCCTGTTCGCCCGTCACCGAGGCGAAGACAGGGTGGCGCCGCCTGGGCCCGTTAGGACGCTTGCGTGTTGAACCAGCCTTCCTTCCTGTGGCCAGGGGAGGCCAGCACTCCGTCCGCTCCCTGGTCCATTCCATCTCCCAGCATTCTGCTGGCGATGACTGGCACCACACTGACCACACGGAATGGTGGCCAGTTTCTGAGGTGTCTGCTCTGGCTCTGGGGTCAGGTGATACTGACGTCACAGAACAAGCTGGGAAGCGTTCCTTCCTGTGTTTGAAGAGGGTCGAGGACCCAACATAACCCTTTAAGCGACAGGATTCACCGGTGAAGCCACTGGTCCTGGGCGGCTCTCCCGGCCAGGATTTCTCTGAACCTCTTCAAACGTTACAGGCCGTTCAGACATCGGTTTTACAGCTTCAATTCAGCACTTTTCCCGTTTGTGCCGTGTCAACTCCACGAGGAAGAGAGGTCTTGGATCTTCCTCTCAATCTGAATCAGCTCTTCCTAGTTCCTATTCGGTGCGTTTTTAAGTTTGTTATTGGCTTTTAAATTCTGACTTTACCTTATCTGCCCAACCGGAGACTAAGTCTGCCTGGCTCAGATCTGCTTGGTTTTTCCTTGGGAACTGGTCGAGTTTCAGCTGTTAAGAGCATGGGCTTCCTCCAGCCAGCCATCTGCCTCTCCAGCATACCTCCCCGTGGCTCTCAGAAAGAACCTTCCGGTTTTCATAGCTGAAGCGGGTCCTGGCAGTGCAGCGGAGACCCGCACAGTACGCGGTGCTCCGGCCAGCCCACACGCCCCCACACAGGGCGGGGTGCTCGTGTGCCCAGCTCTGTGGCTTCTGCCGCGTCTGCTGGGCGCCGACGGAATGTGCTGACAAGAAAATGCCTTCCGCCATCCCCACCCGCACAGGAAGGACGGACTCCCAATGCATGAGGCTTTCATCTTTCCGGAGGGAGAGCTCAGAAGAGGCTTCTCAACAAGCCACAAAGCCAAGCTCCTCCCCCGGTGCTGGCGTGGGCCCCCCGGTGCTGGTGTGGGCCCAGCAGAGCTGCCTGTTCCGGTGTGTGCCCGGGGCAGCCCCCAGCCCCGGTGGCTGCGTGCGTCCTGGGCTGACCTTCCCCAGCAGGGCACGCTCCCCGAGGGAGGCCACTGCGGACAGCAGCGGCTCAGGCCCGTTTTCACAGGTTCCTTGAAGGACATGCTTCTGGTCAGTGTCCGGGGTGCGAAGAGACCAGCTCAGAGCAGAGCGGCCAGCGCTCCACGCTGCTCTCGGTGCTCATGGCCGTCCCAGCGCCGCCGCGGTCACCTGCAGAGGCCCTGCCGTGCCGCGGGCCTTTCCAGAGGCCGAAGTAAGCCACACGAGCCGCATCTCCGAGCCAGCGGGTGCACAGTGCGTGGTGCCCACCGACGCAGCGGGCAGGGCCAGGCCCCACCGAGGACGGCTCGCTGACCAAGCCCATCTCAAACCATGGCACCCACGTCAAGCGGCATAAGTAACACCAGCACAGCTTACACCCTCACTTTTAAAAAAGTGCTTACTGATTTCAGAAAGAGGGAGGGAGAGGGAGAGAAACATCGAGGATGAGAGAGAACCTTGATCACCTGCCTCCCACACGCCCTCTACTGGGGATCAAGTCTGCAACCCAGGCATGTGCCCTGGCCTGGAATCGCACCGGCGCCCTCTGGGTGCACAGGGCATGCCCAACCAACCGAGACTCACCGGCCAGGGCACTTCCTGGCTTTTATCGCCTGTGGTTTGTTCGTTGGTTTGGGGGGGATTAATCCTCAATGAGGGTCTTTTCCCATTGCTTCTCAGAGAGTGAAGGAAGGGGAGAGCGCGAGCGATGTGAGAGACATCGCCTGGTGCCTCCTGCACTGCCCCAGCCAGGGAGGGAGCAAACCCACAGCTGCGGCACATGGCCTCTGTGCACGACCGATGCTCTAACCACTGAGACACACCGAGGGCCCTTTTCAGATAAGATAAAGAGAAGGCAGCCACTTTCTGTCAAGGTGTCACTG